GGGGGGTGAGGGGTGTGTGAGCAGGGGGCGGGACTTGGACGAGCCCATTCCTGCCGGAGGGGTGTCCAACCGCATCCCCGCGATGTTTACTCCCAGCTAGGGTGGCTATCCAAGAATTCCCGACAGCATTTCTTCCGAGAAGGGAAAAAATCTCGGGATAAATCCTGTGCGGACACAAAGGCTGGGAGCGGGGTGAGCGGTGCGGGTGTGCCATGTCCTTCCCCCCCCGGGCCGAGTGGTGCGCGCGGCGCGGGGCGGGGCGCAGGGCCGCAGTGGCGGAGCCGCCCCGTCCCTCCGGCGCATCGCGGTCGCCATGGCGCTGTGCGGCCGCTCCGCGCTCCTCCCGCCGCCCCCACGGCACCGATCCCGGCCCCGGCCCCGAGCCCCGGGGCCCTTCGTCAGGTACCGGAGAGGGCAGCGGGGAAGGCGAGGAGTGGGGTGACAGCGAGCGGCAGGGCTGCGCTGAAGCGGCTGTGGGGTGGGGAAGGGGTATGAGGGGTGGGGGGGTCTGTTGGAGGGGCGCTGAAGGTGTGTGTGGGGGGGAATGTGGAGGCTTTTGATGAACTGAGAGGGAGTTTGGTGTGCGAGAAGCTGAGGTTTTCACAGCTGTGGTGCTGCTCTTGGAGGAAATAGGGTTAAACGCCTGTTTGGGGGCGTTGGGGTGGGAGGCGCAGGGCGTTGGAGGTGCTGAAGGGTGCTGGAATAGAGGGGTTGCGGAGAGGTTTTAAGCGGTAGGATGGGATGTTAAGGGGTTTGATACGGGAGAAGGTGGAGCGTTTGCAGAGCTGACGGTGCTGATTTGGGATAAAATAGGTTTTAGCACCTGATTGAAGGTGTTGGGGTGGGGGTGCACGGCTTTGGGGGTGGGACAGAAGGGATATTAAGGAGAGGTTTTCTGGCGTGCCGGGGCACTGAGCTGTGGGGGGTGTTGCGGTCGGATTTGGGGTCATTCAGGGGGTTTTGGGCGGGCTAGAGCAGCATGTGAGGGACTGGCAACGGGAGGGAAGGATGATGGGGACAGGTAGATTTGGCAGGTGGCTACCGGGAGGTAGGTGTTGGTGGCCCTGACAGGACGGCAGACAAGGGCCTGATGTGACCTTGCGGATGGAGGGATTGTCAAAGGCGGAATCCTTTTGAAGGAGGGTGTGTGGGAGGCTGTGGTGGATGAGGAACAGCAGGACATCAAGGAGGGCTTGGAGCAGGGCTGGTGTGCAGGGGGTGGGTTTGGGGTTGTGTTTCTGTAGGGGATAATCCTGATTTGGGAGGGAGTAGGAATGGGCTGTCTTGGCAATAAGGGAAAACAAAGGCTTGTGAAAGGCAGGAAAAGTGAATTAGTGTAGGGATAGCTGAGGTTTGGGAGGGACTGAGGGAGAAAAGGAAGACCCTGTATTTGTGTGGGCACCTGCTGGGGGCCTTGTGGATACAAAAGTAATAAAATTTCCAGAGCTCTGGGAATACCTTGGGCTTGACAGGAGCTGGGGTGTGGGGACAGGTGAGATGGTGGCCTTGGCTCTGTGGGAGCTCAGGTGTCAGCTCAGGTATCCTTAGGTTGCCAGAGCTCTGTTTCCTTTTGGAGACTTAAGGTGCACCCATGTATATGAGACTGCAGCCCATTATCTGAAGGGTTTGAATAGAGGAAACAGCCTCAAGTTGCAGCAGGAGAGGTTTAGGTTGGATATTAGGAAACATTTCGCTGCTGGAAGGATTGTCCAGCACTGGAACATGCTGCCCAGGACAGTGGTGGGGGTCTCCAGGTATTTAAAAGGCAATTAAAAAACATTTTTGTGGTGCTTAGAGATGAGGTTTTGTGGTGGCCTTTGCAGTGTCAGGGTAACAGTGGGACTGGATGGTCTTAGAGAGCTTTTCCAACCAAAATGATCCCATGATTCTGTTTTATGGTACCACAAAGGACAACGCAGGAACTGAAATGCTTGATGCTTTCAATAGTTACTGCACAATACATGGAAGTATTCACCAGTGGGAAGCCAGATAATCAGGGAATGGAGACCTTGCACGTGAATCGCAGACAAACACTTGGCTGAGCTACCTGGGTCTGTGTTTGCTGTAGATTTTCAATTAGAAAACAAACACCAAAACCAAACAGCTTTTTATGTTAAGTACAAGAAGGGAACAAAAGCATTTTCACTTTTTGGACAATTTGCCAGTGAAATGAGGAATTCTGCAGTGAGAGAGAGAAATGGAGGTTGTTCTGCTTGCTTGAAACACGTTTACACGGCTGTTCCCTCTCTGCCTGCAGTTAGAAATTGAACTGAAAATAAGACAGAAAAAAAGTGACCTTTTCAATTTTTTTTTTTTCACTGAATAAATTAATCTTAATTATTTAGAAAGAGCTTAGTATTTCTGTAGAGTTGTGAAGTATCTAAAAATTCATGATGGGTAATGAAATGCCAAGATGGTAAAAAAAAATGCTGAAAGAGAAAATGGTTTCCACTCAAGCCTTCCTCTTCCTGAGTGATTTTTGTAATTTGAGACCCTGTTTTAGAGTTGTCATGAGAACATTCAGACTCTCTGAACATCTGCAAGCTTTTGAGCTCCACTGGGAGATGCAGCCAGCAACTGTAATTTGGTGCATTTGTAGGAGCCATGTCATCTGTTAGTTTTTTTCCTACTTAACATTCATTCTTGTGCAGTTCTTTTTTAAATTTTTTTATTGTCAGGCCAGATGGAGGCCAGTGTTTGCAATAAATTTCCCAGGCAGTCAGCAGATAGCAGGCAGTTAATAAAAATAACTTAAAACAAAACAATCCGTTACCCTCCTCTCCCTGCCCCCAAGTTCCCAAACAGGAATGGAAAAATTCTTCAGACTATATAAAGACTAGAGAAAGGGCCAGAGATAATTCTTGGAGTTCTTCCACATACTTGAGAGTTTTGGTCTGCCGTGTGGCACCTTGGGAGCTGGCGACCCTCGGCATTGTAACGAGGAAAGAATGGATTTGTAAATAGAAAAGAAAAAAAAACCCTTAAGTAAGAGAAGAGTGCTGCCCAAAAAAGGGGAAGTCTTTTTGGGAGGTGATGTCATCTTTCATGTGCCTGTGTTTAGTGGTGAATGAGTGTTTTCTTTGTGAATACAGGCATTTCTGAACAAAATTCCTATGAAGTGCTTGTTTTAAATATCTGCATCAGAAAATCAATGCAGATTTGTTATATTTCAGAGTGCTCTGCACCCACCCAATCTGAATTACCTTTATGTAAAACAGAGTAAGCAAATACTCATTATTCATTATCCATGGCGGTAACATAACACAGATGAGTTCTCACCATGTGTCCATGTGGGGAAATGCAAAATGAGTCCTTGGGTTCATTTTTCTGTTGTCTCTTCCTCTGTGCTTAACATTCTCCTGCTCTAAACTCTTCTGTTGTTAATCACATCGTGGTTAAATATGTGGCTTTTTTTCTACGAATGGGGTATTTGGGAGCATGGGACCAAAGAGTTGTTGTGGTTTCCCAACCAGTTTTTGTAGGGGACTTGTCTGTGATGAAAGATTAACAGTCTGTGCCCGTGTGTTCCTTATGTAATTATGTCGAGGTTCAGGATTTTGTAAGAGCACAGTTTCACTGGATTTTCTTTTTTTTTAAGGAATGTGCTGTATTTTAGCAATGCAAAGTACAGGAGGAAAGAAAGAGGAACAACCCCCATTCCTTGAATATGGATGGTTTTCTGACAGTTTAGGGAAATAAGAATGCTGAGGTCCTGCTACAGTGAGAATTGAGGGGTGTGGAACCATTTGATTGATGGGAATAGAGAGGTAGATGGGAAATTTGCTAAGGAGAGGAGCAGAGCTATGGTGTGGACCTTCAGCTGGAATTCTTTTGTCATCATCACAGCATCTGATTTGGAGCTTTGTGGCCATGTGGCTGCAGATGTTGTGGTCCAGGAATGAGCCCTGAAGGTGAATTTAGTCTTGAGGCACCAAAGATCAACTTCTGATTTCTGCCCAAGTGCCAGGCAGTGCCCTGTGCTTTTAATCACAGAGTAAGTGATGGCAAAACAATCACCCTTGAGCTGCTGGTCTTTGTCACTTTTTCAATTATTGTCATTTTTTAGGCTGATAATATTTTTGGAAGAGAATAGTTGATGCTCTCCATAATGTGCTGCAACGTAAGAAAATGAAAATACAGATGTGACTTTTGTAAATGAACCTGTTAAGGAGAGAGAATGTCAAGGCTGAGGGTCTGACTGGTGTGTAAGTGATGGGCAACCCATCATTTGATAAATTTTCTCAAGAAGTTTGTGGTTGTGCAGAACAACACCAGGCAGTTCCAGATGTTTAGTAAGGAGCGATTCAGGATTTTTCCTATGTGCTTTGAGCTCTCTGGATTACAGAATTGAATATTCCTGTCCACTTAAAGTCAAGATTTGGTCCTGAAAATGCACACATAGTTAAAATTTATTTATCTGTCTCCAGTTTCTTCTCACTGACCCTAAACAAATCACTTTATCTCGTATTTATAGTCAAGATCCCTATGCTCACTGTAGAGAAATCTGCAAAATAGCTGGAAAGTTGACATCTATTTTAAGGTGGGCGAATATTACCTTTTATGAGTGCCAAGCATTGAAAGTTATTTTGAAATCAATGAAATTCCGAGTGTTTAGCTCAGTCTGACTTCTGGTGTCTGTTTTCACAGCTACAGTAAGGTGGGGATAATGTCAGTCTGTGGGAAATCCAGAAAAACACTGGGCTCTTAATACAAGCAGACAACATTTCTGATAGAAATCATGAGGTCAACAAAAGACCCAAGAAATATAAACTTGACTTTTCGGGGACTAAAGTGGAAACAGATGTTCACAACAGCGAGTTAACAAGAAGAGAGACTTGGGGAAAAAAAAAAGTGATTTATCATTCTATTTTATTTATTTATTTAAGGTAAATCGGGCACTTAAAGGTAAAACCATTGACTTCGGTAGGCAGCACGAATCTGTTAATCTATTCCCTGTCAATGTGAGATTCTCCCTGGTTTGCCAGGGATATTCCCGATTTCCCCTCTCGTTCCCTGCCATCCATCCCCAAACCTCGGCCACGTGCGGGTTTTTAGGGCTGCCAAGCCTTTGTGGGGGAGGAGCGAAACATCTGCCAAGATGAGGCGAAACACATGGAACAGCGAAATCCCAGCCTTTGTCAGCTGAATTGGGTGTTAAACACAGCCCTGCCAGGCTGTGGGAATCCGCCGGGAATTGGGAATCCAGCAGGAATCAATGCTGATATCGGCGCTGCCTCAATTCTGGATTACCACGTCAAGAGAAGGCAAGCTTGCACGCAGGTTAAATCCAGCCAGCAACCAGGGATGCGGGGAAAAAACACCGCATTGTGGGAAAAGAAACGAGATCGAATGGAAATTCAAGCACCGCGTGGCTTTCTTGAGGAAATGGATTTGTTCTTTGTGATTGAGAAAGGCACAGTTGTTAATATTCTCTTTATTTGCCAACAGACGTGCCTTGCAGCGCCGTGTCTGTTACCAAGCTGTGACAGGCTGGCTGTTGTAAAGCGAGGTACTTTGCATAATTAGTGTGAAGACGTGAACAGATGAGCACTAATTCTTAGAAGTTAATGATTGTCAATTATCCCCCCCCCTTTTTTTTTTTTTGCCTGGATCTAGTCCAAGATTAGCGGAATATCAAGTACCTCAAGGTATAGTTCCTTAATTGGTCCAAGCACACTTTATTGCCAGATGTCACCCCAAAACGTGGCTTTGCCTTTTGACCTGCCTTCATCAGCAGTCACGTCAGCTTGCCGCTGTTTGAAAGCGTTGTTTTCTTTTTAATTCCTGGGCTGGAGGTTGTTTGGATCCATAAGCTGATCTGACCTGACACATGGCTTCAAGATCGTTAGTGCAGACAGAAAGGCAATGAGAAGGGTGAGACTGGCCCTTGCAGCACCGGGAGGTTTTATCCTGCCTTAAACGCACAGGGAAATCCCAGCTTCTGCTCAAAAGTGGTGCAAAAATTCCCATTTTACCTATATCAACTTCTTACCCCCTTCAGAAATTGTCTCATGGGTGGATAAGTAACTTCCAGCTCTTGTCTTGCCCAAATCTCGTTGAAATAATTCTGGAGCTTCCTTAGAATCATGTTTCCAAATACACCTAATTTATTTTTTTTTCCAGCAGTAGGTCACTGCAGTTTTAGCTGTGGTTATGGAGACGGTGGATCCAGAGCCACAATTTCCAGGGAAGCATCCCAAGGCCCACAGGTTTATATGGAGGTTGTTGTTTCCGTTTGAATTTGTGCTGCTGGGGTAAAATGAAAAGGCGTAAAAAAAGTCAGTGCTTGTTTTGGAGATGGGAAAAGTCATGGATTTTTGTTCCCAGGACAGTCTCTTTTGTTTTTGTCAGATGACTGTTTAATGTGAAATCCAAGAAAATGCCTTTATTTTCCCCCCTCTGACTTTATCCACAGTTTTAGCCTGTATTGTTTAAAAGCATGTTGTAAGAATTCTAATTATTCTCTTCCCTATTTCTGAATGGCATCTTTCTTCAGGCACACAAGTCTTCTGTGTTTAGTGTCAGCCTTTGAATGTAATGATTTATCCACACTTGAAATGACGTTGAAAATTTTTTTGTAAAGGCGCTTTTTCAAAGAATTTTCTCATAGAAACCACTTCTTAAATAAAGCAAGGAAAAATATTCTGCTTAAGGTCTGTTTAATATTAAGAATGAAATAAATATCTTCATTGGACATAACATTGTGAAATAATGAACGTAAATTTATTCTATTCTTTTGTGTTTTATGTCAGGACACACAGCACTGACATCCAGATTTACCTGGCAGAAATGTTTCAGCGGCTTAATCTGAGATCTGTCGATATTTTTAAGGGCTGCACCAAAGTTATAATTTATTTGAGAAATAATAAAAGTAATTCTAGGAGAGTAAAATTCCTAACCTGAAAATTTAAAGAAGGAAAGGAATACCCAACCTGTGAGGACTCTCTTCCCCCAGTTCTTCTTCCCTTTTTCTACCCAGCACTTGAACTGATCAGAAAATGCTTTCCCAAAACTCAAGAAGACAAAAACCCCATTTATTTTGCTTTTCTCTGCTCTGGTGTTCTTGCACAGTCTCATAACACTACTTCTTTTAAATGATAAATGTGTTTTATTGGGTCGCTCTTTTGTGGAAGCCTTTGAAATGAAAATTTAAAGATCTTAGGAGTAGCTTACCTTGTTTGATATGGTAATATTTTTTAATAAATGGAAAAATCTTTCTTCCTGAGTACCCACACTTGTTCTTTGTCAAATTGAGTTCTAACCATTCTTCTATAAGTGATCAGTACAAGGAAGGTAGCAAAATCAAGGTGTGTATTCCTGCTGAGTTTATAATGCAGGAGAGGTTTATAAAATGTTACACAGCCCTTAAAACTCTGGTTTTGGCTGGAGAATTAAATTTGCCTTCAGAATTGACCATGAGTAGTAGCAGAGGGATTATTGCATCTTGTTTCTGAGGAGCTGAAGGAAATCTCTGTGTGTCCTCAGCATTTTTTGTGTTGACTGTTTCTTTCCTCACTTTCAGCAGGAACAGGAACATGTATCCTCTAATATGGAAAATGTTTTATTAAAAGTCACTCTGGGAGCTGCTTGCCGTGTCAGTGCAGAAGTCCTTGGACATGCTTTTTCTCCCAGTCCTTCCAATTTGTCCTTCAGATCCTCTCAGGAATCATGGAAACAATTCCTTTGCAGGCAGGTCAAGAAGCATTTTGAGAATGATTTCATTAAGGATAGCTTTGTACAAAAAGTTGTGTCCATGTTGAGGTTCCAGCAATACTGCAGCTGCTCCTCAATAACTGTGGGCTTGTGCAACTTGTGTTGCTGTTTCCATACCAACAAATGAAATAAGTTCACTTTGTGCCCACAGTGAAGAGTCTGGGGATATTTTTCTGCTCTCTATCTCGTGATATGGGAAGTATGAAAATATGAGCTCTGAATAGCTTGTAGTGAATCATCTGTCACCCAGCTGGTCTGGGCTCCTGTTTAATGATGGGATGAAAATTTTCCAGAATAAGATTCAAAACCTTCAATTTGTGTAGCTGTGAGATTCAGGTTTAGGTGAGGTTTGAAAGAATGAATAATTAGTAGTTGCTTAAATGTGCAGGATAAAGTTCAGTGTGGTTTTCATGGATTTTCTGGCATCACCCACGTGGACAAACATCTGATAGTACCTGATGAAGTGTCTTTGCTGTCATCAGTGGCTTTAATTTCTGTTTCCATATCTAAGACTGGATCAAAATTTCCATCCATCCATCCATCCATCCATCCATCCAATATAATATAATATAAATTGAAATGTTTCAGGTAAGAAAAATAATTGAGGGATTCACAACTGAAACATGTGACCTAAAAAGTGGAAAAATAAATGCTGGAGACTGCAGTGACTTTGAGCTTCCCATGAAAGTGTTTCCAAATGAAATGTTGTCTGTCCTTTATCACTGATCTTTGAATTTCACTTAGATTCACCATAATGGAAACCTTTCATGTTCATTCTTTCAGAGAAAGTAGAGCACAATAATTGTAGTACTGCTGAAAAGACCTATTTGCTTTTTTACTTGGCTAAAGTAATGCTGAAAATAGAAATATTTGACCTTACTTTATTGTTTGTTTGAACTGCTCATACATTAAATTCTGTTTGAGTGTTTCTGTGAGAGACATTTGTTTCCTGGAGCTGAACAGCTCACAGTTCTATAAACAAGTCTATAAACAAGAAATCCCATTCAGTAATATCAACAGTGAAATTTCTTGTCTTTTATCTGTATTTAAACAAACTCACAGAATGTTGCCTGGAAGCACAAATTGTGTTGCTCTCTGTTGTAGCTAAAAGATGCATATTGGGCAACTGAATTAAAATTTATGTAATAAACTATTCACTTTGATTATAAAAAAATCTGGCTGTTGCAGATGGAATTTTTGCCTGGTTTAAAGATAAATATTGGACAGCTGAATTAAATTTATATAATAAACTATTCATTTTTATGGTAAAAAAATCTCAGCAAGACTTGGCATTGTTTCATTTCTCTTTGATGTTTGAATTTTGATGATCTTGGCGGTCTTTTCCAACCTTAATGATTCTCCTGATGGTACTGGAGGTACCAAAACTCTTTCCCAGATTCCTGTTGGGATGTAGGTGCTCCTGTGGTCCCTTCTGATGTTACTTTGGTTTTTGCTTCTCTGGTAGAAGTGGGAATTTCTGCTGGCCTGGTGGGAGCAAACCTGATCAGCAATTTTTGGCAGGTTGGAGATTAACAGAGCTTGTGGGTCTAAAAAATAGTTAAAAGTTCCTGTCTTCTCTCAGTGCTGTGGTCTTCATCTTTTAGTGGGCAAAAATAATCAGGAATGGTTTGATTTAAGGTCCAAGTCTCAAGAAGAAATCTCCAAATTGAAGTGTGTCCATTTATTTTCTGTAAGGAAGAAAGCAAAGCTGGGTCAGCTCTTCAGCCTCCCAGTTTGACATTTCACAACACTGATCTTGAGGACAAATTCTCTTTCTTTTGCAGCTGCAGCCGCCTCCGAAACATTCAGACCATCTTGACACAGAGCAGCAAATCTCAGCCTGATGGAATCCTCTGCATTTTAGGTTAGTGTTACATTTTTTGTTCTCATTATACTGATAAAGATACCACGAGTTTTAGAAAGAAGAAAATCATCTCCTTCCTGCTCCAGGCCCCAGCCTGGTTTGTCAAGGAATGAACAGCTGATTGTTACACTCTCTTCTCCCTAAACAGTTCTTCAACCTATTTACTAATTTTGGGCAAAGAATTTTAAAGAGTGGCCTGAGAAACCCAGGAAGCAGTTAGTAGTTAAATGTTGGCACATAAACAGCATGTGGTTTCAGTGCTTTATTTCTTCTGGGATTGGGAGAATAGGGCAGCAGGAAATAAAGGTGGATGTGTGTGCAAGTGTGCTGGAGGAAAATAACGGGTTTTGTACTGCTTGAATACCATTTCATTGACTCCTGTTTCACATTATATAATAAGTGTCAAGATTTTAAAGGAAAAATGCAGAACTTATGATTGAAAACTTTAGTCTTTAGAGAAAAGGACTGAGGACTGATTGTTTAAATAAAAGATTTCAGTTAAAGAGAAGAAGTCTGATGTAGCCCTAAAGAAGCTCTGTGTAAGAAGTGGTACCATAGTCTGTTTTTTCAGGAAACAGTTTTAGTTTTATTCTATTTTTTTAATGATGCAGCAAGAGAACTTAAAGCTCATTTACTGGACCACAAAGTAAAATTTATAAATATATATAACCTCATTCTCTTTTAGTCAGTGCTAACTGTACAGCATGACCCTTCCTACCCTACATTCTCTGGGGTAAGAGGTTAAGTCTCTGGCTAAGTAGTAACTGTACAGCCAGAAGCTCTGTGAGGTCACTGTGTCAGCCTTCCAGTGAAACTTAATCATATAGGATAAACTTGGGTTTTGCCTTTGCTGCTAATTTAATTTCATAAAACATGTTGACTGATGACACTGCAGTATTTCTTAATTACTCTTAACTCTGAGACTGTAGAAAGTCCCAGGTAAAGAACAGTCACTGAAAACATGGCCCAGCTTTAAGGAAAGCAAAGGAATTGCTTTGTGTAATCCTCAGTGTCGCGTGGAGGATTTAATTCTAGTCATGAGAACATACCTCCTAATAAATAAGCACTTGTGGTATGGAAATATAGGTGGTGTGTTTTGTTGGGAGATTTGTGCTTTGCCCTGATCTCTCAGCACCCACAATGGGGCTCTTGTCTGCTCTGTCCTGGCTCCTGTAGCCTGCAGAATTTCTGGCATAACTTCCATTAAACAGGCATGTCACTGTTATAAATGCATTAAATCTGTCATCAAATACAAGCTTCAGATGACAAAAACCCATGTAGTTTTATGTCCTGAGTCCTCTTGACTTGTGTGGAAAGTGGATACTCACAACTATGTTTTTTTTACAGTCAGGGCATGTTCTGTTTCACTTGGCTGCTTTTAATGGTCTGGAGTTAATGCAGTTCCCTCACCTCAACTTGAGTTTCATACTGGGCTGTGAGATAAAACCAGTATAAACTTCCACAGCTTTGCTTCAAGTTCATTAATATTTGTACTGAAATTAAACCCAGCTTTGTGAGATCCCAGAGAGAGATGAGATCTGACCCGCTGTTGATACAAGTATTTAAATGTAGTTACAGCTGATTTTTTTAGAAGAATCCTGTAATCTGATTTTAAAGGGGTTGCATGGTAACATTCCTGCATTCTTTACTGGGGAAAAAAGGCCTCACAACTGACAGGAAAAAGGAATTTGGAGGTTGGTATGTCAAATATCTTTAAAAAGCTGTGAGTGATGTCTCAGCTGAGTGTGTTGCTGTTCAAACTGGTCTACTTAAATTATACTGTAAACTATTTTTTATGATAGTTATAGTGATAGTTTCTTGGCACCTTGCCTTTCACCAGAGATTTTCAGCTCATGGTTCAGTTGCTCTGATTTCTGAGGATGTGCATTCAGTGTGAGTAAGGTGTGTCTGTAACTGGAGTTGTAGCTGCTCTGATTGTGGATCAAACTGACCATTCAGTACAGCTGAATTTTTGCAGATATTGATATTTATTTTTTATTCTCTTCGAAGAGTGTGGGGATACTTTCAAGGCTGTTCCAGTAAATCTTTATTTTATCTTAATTCTGTTCTCATCTAATTCTTTAGATTATTTTTTCTCCATTCTATCCATCCTACACAGAGCTCTCCCTACTGGGTTTTTTCCCACATCCTAAGAACATTTAGTACATCGCACTGATTGTTCATCCCATTCCCTTTCCAAACAGAGCCCATTTTAAGGATTATTTTGCCAGCAGTTCTAGAACTGTGTGTTGGTTTTGGGCCAATATCTAAAGGTGATGTGTCCATTCCCTCCAGCCTCACCCTGGTGCTCCCTGCCTGCTGTCCCCACGTGTGTTTTACATCACTGCTGGTGCCGTTTGGTATCTTGCACCCACTTTATCTTAGCCAGCAGACAGATTTTCCCCCCGGATTTGGCCAGAATGTTTTCTGCCAATTTAGCAAACTGAATGGGGAGCAGGAGCGGCTCCTCGGGGCTCGGACTGACTCATTGTGTGCCCGCACCCCGGCGAGGAGCTGGGAACAGGCGGGGGAGTTTCCAAACTCCCAGCTCAGCTGGAGACAGGCGTCGGGGTTTCCTAATTAATGGCCTTGCCCATTGTTCTGGGGAGGACTCCTGATACGCTCTCGGGGGTATCTTATCTTGGTCATTGTTTCATTTCCTGTTTGTTTTCTGCTAGCTATATCTGTTCCTTTAACTCCATATGTTTCTGTAGAATAACAGTAGAGCCTCTGTGTGAAAGCTCCTGTCTGGATAGGATACTTGAAAGATTCAAGTAAATCACTAATCCCAAATATGCTGCAGAATTCATGGTTTTGTGTTAAACAAATGCCTTTCCTGCGTGTCTGTCAGTGCTTTGCAAGCAATAAATTCATCTGTGTACTCTAAGAGTTAAATCTGTCAGCTGTCCCCCTTTAACATCTTTTTGTTTTCTGTTCCCCTCCTTCTGTCATTAACTGAAAAAGCAGAGGTTTTGGCTTGGAAGATCTTCCCTGCTTGAAGCTGCTGTACCCAGATAAAAACTCAAACTCTTCAATTGATGGTGATATCATAGCTGTTTTTTTTTTTTTTTTTAAATGAGGGCGATTTCTCATTTTTCTTCTGTTCTTCCAGAAATCAGAGTCACAGGATCATAGAATGGTTTAGATTGGAAGGGACCTTAAAGATCATATGGTTCCAAATCTGTGCCATGAGCAGGGACGTCTCCCAGTATCCCAGATTGCTCCAAACCCCGTCCAGCCTGGCTTTGGACTCTTCCAGGGGCAGCCACAGCTTCTCTGGGAATACCCTGTGCCAGCCCTTCCCCACCCACAGGGAACAACTCCTTCCCAATATCCCATCTATTCCTGCCCTATGGCAGTTCAAAGCCATTCCCCCTTGTGCTGTCACTCCATGCCCTTCTCCCAAGTCCCTCTCCAGCTCTCTTGGAGCCCCTTTAGGCCCTGGAAGGGGCTCTGAGATCTTTCTGGAGCCTTCTCTTGCCCAGGCTGAACGCCTCCATCTCTCTCACCCTGTCTGTGCCAGATTATTGTTCCTCTGAGGCTTCAGAAGATGCTTCAGTTACGCAGGTAATCATGAAACAGATTATCTTCAGGATATTGTGTGTGCTCACTTCCCAAGGCTGCAGCTGATTCCAAGGAGACTGATTACATTTAAATGGAGTTCCCTAAAACAATGGGACAGTTTCTTCCTGAAAGAAGGGAGTCTCCACTTGTTTGTAACTAAAATCCCACCTAGACAGGAGGGCTTTGGCAGCAATATTTGTATGTTGAGTCCCATTGAATTCTGGATTACATTGGTGTGCCGGCTTTCATGGGGCTGAAAATGTAAATAGAATAGAGGGGTGGATATGAATGGGAGTTCAGAAGCAGCTGGAGAATAGGGATTCAAAGATGATGGCAGGAAAAATTTTTTGAGGGCTGAGAAAGCTGTGACAGATGTGAAACAGTTTTCCACCAAATATCAGATACCTTGGAATACATGTGAGCTTCCCAAAGTTACTGAGCAAACAAAGAGTTTATTAAGATACTGGATTCAGTAGCTGGATGCAGACACATCATCTGGTTTGCACTTTAAAGCTGAAGCATCACATGAAAAAGGAGCATAAATAGGAGAACCTGAGGTTTGTTCTGATTTTTGCCAATTTCAGGTGACTCTTGACTGGTGTGGTTTCCAATTCAAGTCCCGAAACTCAGATGTTCATGCCCTGTTATTACATTATCAACGTTCTGATCTCTCCTTTAGCAGTGGTAACAAATCCTAATTTGTTGGTAGCTGTTCCACTGAATCCTAATATGACTTAGTAGGAAAACTTGCCATTAGAGAAATTTCTTGGCAGTAAAAACTGGTGACTTCTGTGAAATGTGGCTGGCAAGGATGCTTATTTATGTGCAGCTGTACTTGTTTGAGAAAACTGGATTTATTATATTAGAATTATGACCGTGACTGTCATCCAGAGAGATGAAGATTGATGAAAATAGTTTCTAAATCTGTGACCTCATTCCTTTCTTGTATTTATCTTCTGTCTCTCCATGCTCCAGATCTTCAGTTGTTTTCACTGAATTTTCCCAAGGACCAGGAAAGGTTTCCTTGGAAGCTCTTTGTGCCCTGTGTGTTTTGTCAGAACTTCTTTTCACAATTTGTCAGAAGTCTGCAGTGGCTCTCTGGTGACTCAGGGATTGCTCTATAACACTGATAAGATAATGTTTAATCATGTATTCTAAAGCAGGAGATTTGGGTCACGGGATTAGTTTGTTATGAAGCTTCAATCAAGAACATATTAATTAGAATGCATCCTGCATCCAGACAGATGTTTGAATTACTAGAAAAAAGTGAATTTTGGATGCAGACCACTGCAGAAAACAAGACATTTAAATATTTTAAGGAATACTCATGGATTTAGGTTGAAAGGGAGATGTCAGCATGTGGCAGTGATATTGAAAAAACTCCTTTTTCCCTACCCTGTTCTTTCAGTGTGTTCAGTTGAGGAGCTGAGTTCATACTCCTGCTTTAAAGTTTAATAAATTAAAAGTTTAATAAATTAAATTAAAGTTTAATAAATTGGGGAAGAAAATAAACTTTTCAGGTGTGCAGTGGTAGGACACACAGTAATTCTCCTGTGGTTTTGCTTTTGCAGGGATAGACAGTCGATACAATGAAGGGTGCAGGGAACTGGCAAATTATCTGCTCTTTGGTTTGTACAACCAGAACAACAACGACTTTGAAAGGACAGGCTTTCCTGAGGAAGTTCTGGATGGTGAGTAATGTTCTCAACATTTTTACTTGTTCTGGACAGAAGATGAGCAGAAAAAGGGACTTAAAAAAAGAAAATAAAGGTCTTTAAGTCTCAAGTTGTCTGTATATGCCTGAAAATACCTTCTTAGAAACACCGCTGAAGGACTAATTCTTAAATAAAATAAATATTAATAAAAATATTAAAAAATTTGTATTTTTTAATACAAAAATAGATATTTCATGTGTTTTGTGCTCCACAGTTTATCTCAAATGTTGTAAACTTACACAATTATAGCCCATTAGTTCAGTCAATGTATGTACATGTTATTAATCATTGTGTGATCACACCTCTGCACTTGTAAAGTACTTGAGCTCTTTTTTTACTTCACCACATTAACTCACCTTTGTCATACTTGGAATATGGCCAATCCCTGTGATCACACCTTATTATTCCCTTATTTGCATGAAACTTTTGGATATCTCCCCCTTGGGCTGTGGTGCTGATAGTTTTTAGTTGAAGCTACTCTGATGTAATGTCAGGCAAGAGCAGCTGGAGTTTAGAGGTCTGAAAGTGCTCTGGGAAGACTCACCCTGACCCTCTTGGCTGTACAAAGGACAGGCTGATGCAAGTTCTGTGCAAGACTTGGGAATAACCCCCCCAGTTGTCTGGAACAAGTCCTCTTGTACTTGGAACTGTCTGTGGCTGCCAACTGTTTCTTCAGGAATTGCTGAGTGATTTTCTTTTTTAATGAGGTGCATGATAGAAAAAATGTTTTCTGTTCAGTTTCTCTTGTGTGTGGAGTCCTGATGCTGGAATATTTGTTCTGCTTCTTGCAGATATAATCATATTAATAAAACCTGACAGTGTTCATCTGTACTGCAACCCTGTGAATTACAATCATCTTTTGCCCTATGTGGCACACTGGAGGAACTTGCATTTCCACTGTCTGACTGAAAATGAGGTAAGTGAAAAATGAATGCAGACAAGATTTGCTAATGAACTTGTTAATGAACTGATCCTTAAAGTGAAACTTCTAAAAACATTCTTTCCAGAAGCCTTTTTTCTCTTTCCCCCTCAGCAGGGGAGTGATATGTGTGTATATCTGGGTATTAATCATTTACTAAAGTGTGCAAGAAGAATATGTTGTCAATACTTTTATTTGTTGGAGCGTGAAGACAAATTGCTCCTCTCTCCCACTAATTGCTGTTTTTTTGACCTGAGTCAGTGATCTTTTAATGAGGAAAAAAATGTGGGTTGTGAAAAATGCAAAATGTGAATCGAGTATCACAGTCAGCGCTGAGATTTCCCACATCAGCCTTGTTTGCTGCCAAAGCAATGTCTGCACTGATTGCCAGTAGTTTTTGAATGTTAGAAAAGATGGGCTTAGTAAGTCCTTTAAAATGAAGAAGCTTCATTATGTATTTTCATTTTAACTGTTAAAATGTTCCTTCTGTCGAGAACTGTTAACCTCACTTCCACTACATCCCATGACTGATGTGAGTTTCATCTTGAACTTAAAAGTCAAAGTATTCTAGAAAAAAGACCATTTATTCCTGTGAAGTATTTTTAGAGGAGTAAAAAATGAAAATACTCTTTATCTGGGTGTAGAATAAGGACCTTTTCATTCCAGTGGAGACTGGAAATGCTTCTTCCTACACTGAGTTCTGTGTAGTTCCTTTTCTAAGTTAGAATTATACTGAATTCTGCAGGGAGTGGGTTTGGAGCCTGTGATGGTGAGTGAAGCCAGTGGAAAACTTAATGGGAGAGTCAGGGAGAGAAACCTTTTTTGGTCCCTTGCGTTTCCAGCTTGGAAGTGATGGGGCTTATAATAGACTGATTGTGTTTTTATGTGTCTGGTTGATATCTTAGATCACAGAATTAGGAAATAATTCAGATTACAAGGGACCTCTGGAGATCATCTTGTCCAACCTCCTGCTTCAGTGGTGAGATCAGATCAGGTTACTCAAGGTCTTTTTGCAGCTGGGTGTTGAAAGCATCCAAGGATGATGACTGCAGAACCTCTGCTGGCTGTCTGCTCCATTTTCCCACTGTTCTCCTAGTGAAAAAGTGTTTCCTTTTGACAAACCCAAACTTGTCTCATTTTAAATCATGACTTTTGTTTTTGCCACTGTGGAGAGCCTGACTTCACCATCTCAGTAACATTTTGGTGGGTTTAAGGTGCAGATACTGAGCAAGCCTGGATCTCCCTTTCTGGGACAAATGCTGCATCCCACTGATTGTGGTGGCCCTCCACTGATCTTGCTCCAGTTTATAAATACTTTGTCCCTGGATCCCAAAACTTGTTGTGGATACAGTTCCAGGAGTGCAACAGAGAGGGATAATTCTTGTTAGGATAGAACAGCTGAGCTCCAGGTTAAAACATGCCACAGCTAAACCTGAAGCCTGGCTTCACAAGGCTTTTCTGTTGCCAAAATCCCTGCTGAAAGGGCAAATCTGATGCTGGGAGAACACGTGCACTTTGGAATCAGGAAGAGAGAAGTTCTTACCACACTGTTGCCAGTGGAAGTGCAATCTCAGCTATTGAATTTTAAGCTTCATCTGCTTATGGGCTTTGATATGATTTATCGTGGTAAGCAGGAAACTTAATCGTACAGCGTTGGCTTGAAATAATGATGTAATTGGCATGGTAAACCTTGTTCTTTGTGGAAATGAGGGGAAAGGTTTGATTTTGGAAGCTGAAAATACAGTTCTCCTTCATTGCTGTTTGGTATGAGTGAACTGAGCACTTCCGGTCACGTTCCCAATGTATAAGAATTGCCAGTTTCCTATATTACTGCTGAAAGACAAACAAAAGCTTGCTGTGTCAGGCTTGAAGTGCATCCTGTTTACAGGAGAATTGCCTGCAGTGGCTTTTAAGCACTTACTTTAGTGATAGAAATAACTTCATAAAAACGAAACCAAAAAAGCGCAGGAATTTTAGAAATAAATATAGTAGTGCTGTACCTGGCTTTGGAAAAACATAGAACTTCTCCTTCCTTTTTTCCTTCCTACTTGCTTTAAGTAGACCACAGGCATTTAAGAGTATATCCTAGTTATTGGGGAAAAAAATCCTGTATTACTAAAAAAATAATGCCCATGTTCAAAGTGGCCAAATGGGACAAAATAGTGGAATTCGCTGTAGTAAATTTTGGGGTGTCACGGTTGAATTGACTGTATTTATTCCGGCAACAGCAGATTGTGAGCAAGCCTTTAGCACCATGCCAAAACCCAAGTTCCTATTCCAATAACATTTTTAAGTCCTGAGAAACTGGCAGTTGTTTTGGGCTTGGCTTTGAGCTGCAACTTTGATCTGGCTTCCTGGGATTGGAGAACGAACGCATCATGGAGGAGCTGGGGCTGCATCTCAAATTCAGGCTTGACTTAAAAGAACTTGTTCTCAAAATAAATGTATTGGGTGTACCCTGAAGCTCACAAAAAGTTCATAATCATGTCATTTGCCTTGATAAGAAGCTCAGAGTGCTGTGAATAAAAATGAAATAAAATAAAATAGGCAAAACACCTCTGTCTTCTGATCTTGCTCCAGAAAAGAAGTGGCTCTTGAAGAAGCCAGCAGGGCTAGACCTGTTGGTTCCAGACTTGCTGCTAAACTCCTTTTCAGGTCAAAGTCAGTGTGTTTTCAGGTTTGTGTTCTGTTATAAAAATGACTTTAGTGTGATTTGTCTCTTCAGTCTGGTTTTTATAATTTTCTGTGTAAGGATATTTGCTCTTCATTCTACTGTAGTCTTCAGACAGTGTCACATGAGGGGTTTTTCCTCTTCTTGCCTCCTCCTTTTCCTGCAGTTCACCTCCCCCTCAGATTAAAACAGGTTCTCATTGCCTAATCCGTGACCTGGGGCTTATTCTGACATTGATTTTCCTTGCTCAGTGTTGTTTAGCTGGTAATACAGTATCTTATTTTAAAGTTTTTTCCCTCAGTGGCACGCTTTTCGTGGCACATCAGTTGGTATCATCAAAATTACTTCCATCTTTCAAATCTAGATGTTGAAAGACTTCACTGAAAGCTGAAAATAAAGTCTATAATTATGCCTTCGTATGTCATGATTAAAAACTTTGCTTGGCTTGAGTATATCCCTGCCATGATAGGATTTCTAAAATACAGAAAGAGGTGCTTGAGCTTCTGGAGGCTGTAGGTGATATTTTAGTGCTTTACATGCTGCATCTTCTCTTTCCTACCAATCAAATTAGGGCATGCCTAATCCAGTTTGATTTTAAATGCCTTCTTCTAGTATGAAGATGAAGAAGCTGCAGAGGAATTCAAGATTTCCAGCTTTGTGGACATGGTCCGGGATTGCAGCCGCATCGGGATCCCCTACAGCTGCCAAGGTAGGGTGGGTTATGCTCAGGGTGGAAGTGTTTTGCACCCTGCAGCTTCAGGGAATGAAGATTTCCTTGCCTTAGGAGAGAAATAAGGATTAGTAAGTCATTAGTTTCCTTTTAGCCTCTTTTTCCTTAAGAGTTGAATTTCTTTCTGAGAACTGGAAGTTGTCAGAGTTCATTTGGGGAGTGAATGCCCCCAGCGTGAGGCAGAGAAATTATTTGCATTCAGAGCAGTGTCTTGAGCTGCTACAGAAGTTTTCTGTTCCCATGGGAGCTCCAGATAAATCCTTCTTTATGGAAGGGAGGAATAAACATTCCTTTATGCAAGTTTCCTTTTTTAGAACTAAAAAAACCTGCCCTGCACGGCTTCCTGTTGGGATCTGGAGCCAGCCTTGAGCCTCAGCAATGTAATCTTGCATTCTTTTTTTATTCCTAATGCTTTATTGCTTCCCTTAGGGAAGGGTGATATGCTCTGACTGCCTGGAAAGTCATTAGTGGAAGTGCCAGGAGGAAGAGTTTTCTTCTCCCCCAACTTGAAATTCTGATTAAATGGGGATGATGGAAGAAGTTCCTCCCTGTGAGGGTGGGGAGGCCCTGGCACAGGGTGCCCAGAGAAGCTGTGGCTGCCCCTGGATCCCTGGAATTGTCCAAGGCCAGGTTGGATAGGGCTTGGAAGAACCTGTGATTGTGGAAGGTGTCCCCTAACCATGACAGGGGCTGGAGTGGGATGAACTTTAATGTCTTTTCCCATCCAAACCATTCTGGGATTCTGTGATGCTGACAGTATTTACTTCAGACCAAGTATTTGAGGAAGTGGTGTAAACAAAACTCCCTATTTATTATCTTGAATTTTAATTGTTAATCAGCTTATAATGAAGTTTGCAAGGACGTGTGAAATATCCAGAGAAAAAGGGACAAAATTTAGGGTTTAGAGGAGCTTCTGCACAAAATTATTTTTCACTTAAATCTTTTCAATTGTACAAAGATGTGATAATTGAGACCCTCTGTGAATCCCAAGAACTCAGGGAGAGCTGGAGTGCCAGGATTTCTGAGGGAATGTTGCTATGTTTGCTTTGCAGGCCACCTGCAGATATTTGACATGTTCATCGTGGAGAAGTGGCCGATCGTCCAGGCCTTCGCGCTTGAGGGGATCGGGGGCGACGGCTTCTTCACCATGAAATATGAAGTGAGTGCTTCCTTTTGTCATTTCCTTTCTGAAGCAGGAGTTACTCATGGAATTATTTTGTTTGGAAAGCACTTTTTGAGATGATCTAGTCCTGACTCACTGCTCAAGTGAGCTGCTAAATTGGATGAAGTTTTTTGGGATCTTGTAAAACTGATAGGATAGAGACCCTGTGGTGTTGCTGAGATTCTGTTGTGGGATACACAGCACTTTTTCCTGGATAAACCATTACTTGGACATTCTCTCCAGGTCTCTGCTGTGATTTAGAACTTCTTTCCTTTCTCTCTAAAGCCACCTCTACCAATAACCAATTTTTTTACGCCTAGATGGATTCTTTTACCCTTAATTTTTTTTAGAAGGGTTTTAGATCTTCAAGTGCAGAGCAGAAATAGCTGGTTAGTGACAAACACTGTGAGATGAGCTCTGAAAATAAGGAAAGATTATTTCTTGGATCACTGTTTTTGATTGAAGAGATACATCTCCTTCTCTCACTGACATTGTATGTTCATGGGTCATCATACAATGCTGAACAGGGCAACAGTCAGGATTTAATTGCTCCTATATTTAATAATGATTTGCTGTTTCACTCTGAGCAACTTATGTCATTGATTTGCCCATTTATTAATGCTCTGAACAACATTTTCAGATGACAGCTTTGCATTTCTGTGCTTGTTTAAAGCTTCTTTGATTTCATTTTTTTGAACCTCTGCCACAGCAATGCAGATGTTCCATTTTTCTTATCACTTCTCCATTTTTACAGCCACAATGGGCTTTTGTCTGACTCCTGATAGCTGGAAAACCTCCAGAGAATTAATGGTGCCGTTGTTAAAGTCTCATCATATCTAGAATTGTACATGCTTGCTCAGAAATAGGCTCTGTGAGTTCCTATTCTTTTCTGAGCACCCTTGTTTTCCCTCTGGTTCCTTTCTTCAGGGCTTTTTTCATTCCATCACTGGTACTGTAACACCTTGTGGTGTGAAGCTGCCCAAACCATTAAACACAGAGTCAATCGCCCTTCTTGATGTCTGAAATGAGTCAGTGAAAATTTGACTGGCAATTCAGGAGCTGTTTGGGTCTTCGGTTGCCCTTTAATTACCCCAATTCTTTTCACAAATCTGTAGAGGCTCTGAAAAAAATGTTCAGGCACGGTGGCACAGACAGAACCTCTCCTGTGTAATCCAGGGAGCTGATACTGTCTCCTGGCGCTCCTGAATGCTTAAAAAGGAGCAGGGAAAATTCTTGGACTCCTTTTTTAAGAGCAATCATATTGGTTCTGGCAGTCCAGCCAGCTCCAGCTGGAGTTCTTGCTTGCTTCCTCCTTCAAATCATGAGGGGATTTCAAATGGGAAGTGACATTCCTAACTTTTTAAGTGTTTGTTTGGTTCTGTCAGGCAGCTGCTCTGTGTCACTGATGGGGGAGGAGACCAGGCTGAAAAGTGTATTTGGGATCACTGTAAATGATCTTTAAATTAATTCTTCTGCCTTTGTTAAAAGGGGAGTTTTTTGGTGCATTTTTTAGCTCAGACTTTCCCTCTGAGATTTTCCCTCTGCTGTGTGTTCTCTTAGATTTGAGTGTGAACAAAGGATGGTAATTCATTATTTTTCCCAGTCTTTTAAAGGCAGTTGCTCTTATACTGGAGAAATCAAGAGTTGCTCAAGATGCTGTAATTTAGAAAATTTACTGTATTTATAGGAATGGAATAGAAGTCAGGTCTGGGAAATCATTATTAACATCCCTAATTACATGAGTACCTGGAATAACTGTAAAGCAGTGGGTTAAGAAAATTCCAGCCAGTATTGCTTTTTTAACTAAGTGCATGACGGGCAACCCTGTAAATGCAGAATCATTCAGATACAAGTGTCCCTTAAGAGTATATTTTTAAATAATATTCTCATATGCAACATCCTGCTACTTGGAAGAAAGTATTGCAAAGTTAAACTGTCTTGGCCTGAATTTACATCAGTTTAGAGCAAGTATTGGCTGATGCTCAGGATGAGTAACCCTGGAATCAACTCTTGGCTGTCTCAACTCAGAAAACTCATCTTTCCCTTTTGCCTGCACCAACTCATGCAGTTCTCTGCTATTAAATTTAAAAATTTTGTGAAATGATTTGTTTGGAGGCTGCAAAGAAGGCTTTGCACCGAGTTTAGACCCTCACTAGTCAGGTCTTTTGTAACAGAGTAAAAATATTTGAGAAATCAGAATTAAGGAGCACTGTTACGACAGGGCAGTGTTCCCCAGTGCTGTCTCAGATTAAACCTGAATTTGTGGCCTTCTTTGTGGTGTTTTTCACAGAAATGTGTTTAAAAATCTCTTTCAGTTAATGGATGTCAGTGCTGACTTGTGGAAGACCTATAGCAAAATGGATCCTGTGTCCTTGGAGGATTTACTCTTTGAGGTAATGCGGGTGAAATGTTTTGCCTCAGCTCCTGCTTGGTGTAACCACAGAGTAAAATTGTTTGGTTTTCATTAAGTTTATGGGCTGAATCTACAGGTTCTGCCTGCTGCTGCTTGCAGGGTCTCCTTCCATTCCTTAAATCTACCACAAACTATGCAAAACACTAAAATAACTTGTCTTGGTTTCCTTGAATTTATTGCTTTGTCTGAAAATCTTCTAAAAGTTTTCCTTCATGTCATTAAACCATGTACAAAATACGTGAAACTGCTGTGGTTTTGTGTGTTAATCCTCCTTCTGCAGCAAGGAGGGTTAAAAAAAATCCCCTTTAACACACAACCATTCTTCCAGGACTAAAAAGCACTTTTCAGATGTTTTGTAGCTCCTTTAAGTGGGGAACAGTGCCACTCAGTGGCTGCCCTGATGCTTTGGGAAATACAAACAGCGGGAAGGGATTCTCACATGAATGCCGTGCTCTGATCTCAGTGCTAGAGCAGAAAGCATTGTAAAAATTAGTAGTATTTATAATTTATTAGTATTTATACCTTAATCGTATCTATATTTTATAATTATTGCTATATATTGATTTTTATCTATTTCTAGCTTGACAGCAATTTAATATGTATGAAATTCAGCAGTAATTATCCTTTATTAATAAAATATTGGTAGTTCACACCAATTTGGTTGTTCAATCAGCTGCTGTAATGAAAATTAAAATATCATAGAGTTTTTACAAGGCTCTCAGTCTAAGTAATCACTCTGTGATATTTCACTTCCCCTTTCTGTTTGGAAGTGAGATTAATGTTTGGGACTTGTTCTGCACTCTGAGCAGACCTATTAACCATAATTTAAATTTTCATCCTGAAAGTTGTCGTTAAATTGACTTCAATTTTCTGAAAAAAGTGAACATAAACCACACACCCACAAAAAGACACCCTGAAACCCAGCAGAACATCCTTATCTTCTAAAATATATTCATTTTCCTAAGCTTATTGTTTCATTGGGCTGTATTCCAGTGAAATGTCACCTTTGCCTTCATTTCTCTTGCCTAAGGAAGTAATGTCAAATATTTTCCTTCTAGGATTTAATGATTTTTGAGCACCAGTGGACCAACTTTTTTGCTAATTTTGACACTGAAATTCCCTTCATTCTGGAACTCTCAGAATCTCAGGCGGGGGAGGTAGGCTTGCTTCAGAAGTCCTTGAGAATCCTGCTGGTTATCCATGCAGAATAAATAATTATTCAGCATTCTTTTGGGCTTTTTTTCCCCTATCCCATCTCACTTTTCATGTTTGAGGAGTAAAAAACCACATGGTTTGGGTTTTTTAAAGTCACCACCCACCTGAAAAATCCATGGTATGACGGCTTAGGATTGCTCGGGTAATTCAGTCAAGTGTTTGCTCGCTGATAATTCAATTTATATCTGCACAGGAGATATTTGCAGGTAGATTAACTTGCCTTTGGATGGAATCTGGTATGTGCAGGGCTTAACAAGTTCAGTTTGCACATCTCAAACATAACTGAGGGAGTAGCACTGAGCATGGGAGAGAACAGCACAGGATTTCTGGGGGTGGCTGTTGCTTTTGAAGTGTTTTGTTGCTTTCTTGATGCATTTCAAAGCCTTTTGGTGCTTTTTTGATGCATTTTGTTGCTTCCTCTGGGATAGTAGATGTCCCTGCCCATGGAAGGGGGTTGGAACTAAATGAGCTTTAAGGTCCCTCCCAACCTAAACCATTCAATGATTTAATAATATGAGAGACTTAGTGGTGTTTGTGTTAGTTTGTGGAGGTTGGAAGTATTTTTGAGGGTTCAGGAGTTTTCTCTGAGAAGGATAATAATTCAGGTTTTATTAGTGGTAGGGTATTTCATACTTCTGTTGATGTACTTCTTAGTAATTTTTGTTTTCACTTCTTCACAGCCATTCAGAAGTTATTTCAGCCATGGCATGATCTCAAGCCATATAACAGATAACAGGTAATTATTCCTGTAATTATTCCATTATTCCCTCTGGTGTCATTACCACCTCAGTATTTTATTTCCATATGCCTGATGCTATAATGCTTAAAACTCTTATTTTGGTATCACCTCAGTATATCAAATCTCATACTGAAAAAAACCCTGTGCAAAGGCACTTGCTGGAAGGATAAGCTGAATTTTCAAAGGGTTTAAATGCTGTAGTTCTTATATATACCTTGAAATTTTGTGCATTATGGTTAGTTCCATCCCTGGGAAAGGTTGGATGGGGCTTGGAACAGCCTGGAATAGTGGAAGATGTCCCTGCCCATGGCAGGGGTTGGAGTGAGACGATCTTTAAGGTCCCTTCCAACCCAAACCATCCTGTGATTCTGTGAGAGAGTTTAAACCAAAAGTAATTGTTTAGCTGACAGTTCTGTTGCCAAATCCATGTTTTGCTGTTTAGAGCTAATCAAGGTTTGTTTAGCTACTTCAATCTCTGCACATTCTCCTGTGTTTGGAGTAAACCAGTGGAGTTCAATGTCCTTTATTGCTGGCAGCATCCTCTGGTGTTTGCATTGCAATAAAGAAAAGAAAATCCTTGACCTCTCCAGCTGAGTCTTGGGCACAAAGCCCGAACTAAACCCAAAATAGTTTTGTTTGTTTCCAACATGGTCATTTCAGGGTTTTTCAAGATGGTGAATTTTAAACTAAGCAGCTTTTCAAGGCAGTTTAAGATAAAAGAATCTCCTAAGAGCATTTGGGAATAACCTTGAGATAAGTTTATTGTATTTAAAAGAAATTATCTTTTTAATGCAAGTAGTTTTTTTCTTTAGAAATTGGTTGTTTCACTGTGAAGCTTTGTGGAGCTTTAGTAATTTTTTTCCTTTTAGTGAGAAATTCAGCAGTTGGTCCATCACACTTGAAAGCTTTGATTTCACTTGTTGGTTGTAAACTTCCTGCAAGTGTTTTGGTGGTGATTCCCTCTCTCCTCCTCAGCCCGAGCCGGCAGCCCTTTGTCCTGTTTGGCAGCCACTCCACGAAGGAAAACTTGAACTCTGGCAACTTTAATTTTCCATCTGAAGGACATCTGGTTCGAAACACTGGCCTTGGTGGAAGCACTGCCAAGCATATGGTAAGGCTTTGGGGAAGTTATCTGAGATTTTGGAGCATTGTGTATTCCTTTTCTCTTTGTATATTTTTCGTGCCTGTCTTCCATGAGTTAAAGACTTAATTTTTCTTAACATAAAGCACCTTAGCAATCCATCAGTTTAAGAAACAAATTTAATTTTTCTTGCTCTTTCCAAGTTAAACCATACTGGATTCTTAATCAGGGACTGCTGAATGAGTTAAATTAATTTATTCTCTGGAAAAAGACAACTTTTGCTGTAAATGGGTGGGGGAGAGGGAAATACCCTTTGTGAAGGTGTGTGTCCTGGCCACAAAGTGAAAGCCTTCTGTGACACACTTAACTGTGGCACACAGATTGTATTTTAATCACATTCACTTAGCCATTTCTTAAAAAAGAAACAAAAAGCCACTTTTTTTTTTTTGTTAACACCATTGTGTGGGATACATGTATTCAAATTCCAGCCTGTGCTCCGACACCTATTGATGAAACTCTGAAAAGCCTTTCCTAGTTGCAGGACTGTTCTGATGAAGTTGCAAAGATTAACTTGTTTCCATTTCCAAGTAAAAGCTGGGTTGTTAAACATTTGCTGAGCTCCGTGGCTCCTTGCACCGCGGCGCAGGGGCCGTGCCTGGGCTGGCGACCCCAGGGAATTGGGATCCTCTGGCTGGAGGGCCTGGGTGGCTCCAGAAGGCAACTGGCAGCGAAGGAGGAGAGAGGTAGAGTGTGGAGAGAGCTCCCTGCTGCCTCCAGGGGCTCTGGGAGTGGTGTGAGCCCTGAGCAGGTGGATGTGGCCATGCTGGAGTGAGCGCATGAGTGAGGCCATGAGTTCATGAGCTTGTCAGCATTTCATGTGCAGCTGCCTCAGGGATGGATGGACGTGGGGCTTCTGGGCACAAATCACGTGTCCAGAGCCTGAGAAAAGAGTGGTTTTGCATCTTGGTGAAATCTCATCCTCCATTTGCTGCTCTAACACTGTTTCTGTAAAAACACTTTCAGTTCTGTCTTTCCTTCCCTTGTTAACAATGAGATACCATTTGATACCTTTGCAAATGCAAGTACTGTGTTATTCTGATGTACTTGCTCCGTCTGTTGTCCTCAGATTCTGATGCTGTTCTTAAAAAGGTGGTTTATTTACAGGTACAGGTGATACTGTTTTAATAGGGTGTCATGAAAATAGTAAATAAGACCAAGTGCCAGCATAGTTATGGGAACCTGACACACTTTCCTCTTCATGAAAAGAGCAGTTGACATAGGAAATTGAAAACACAAGTCAGAGCTCATCTCCTTTCCAAAGTCTTTCAACCATTCAGGTCAAGTCAAAAGTGAAATAGACCTTTGAAAACGTAAGTTGCCTTTTCACAATCCAGTTCCGTCTGTGTTGTAAACTTCTGTAGTCTGTCAGTGCTTAGAAGACTTAAGGGGAACGTAGTTAATTGTTAATTATTGCACCAATTTGTTTTACTGATGTCTTTTTTATCTCATTAATACTGACTGCTAGGTAGTGCAGTGTGTATCTCCAAAGGGACCTCTGGCTTGTTCAAGGACCTATTTTTTTGGAGCCACTCACATTCCTTTCCTGGGTAAGTGCATTAAATACACCAAGGCAGTTTTTACCTCTGATTCCATGAAAATTTGTAGCAAATTAAAAGCTTTGCTTCCTTTATAAGCATCAGGCCATGGAGTGGTAGATTCTGTAGCCAGTGCATGAAATCATAGCAGATTTTGTGAGTAAAATCTGTCTGATCTCAGTGTGCAGACCCTTTTTAAAGCATTAAACAAATATTTAAGTCCATGTTTCATATGGATTTATAAAAAAACCAGTCTCTAAAATATAGTAATTCAAACTGGTAACGGTCAAGTAACTGAGGATTTTAGAAGGATGAAGAAAATTCTTTCACTTCTGTCTTTTATCCTCAGTATAATGAGATACGGTAGCTGTAATCCCAAATAAAAATAATCCATGTAAAATTTTTAAAAAACATTTTTCTTATGTGTTTTAAATGGAAGAATCCATGGATAAAGTCAGTCCTTAGGGTTATCTTGAAAATGTACTGGGCTCAGAAAAGCTGAAGAGAGGATGGCTGGAGGATTGGAATTACAGCCTGTGTTTGCCCTAGTAGCATAAAATACTGGATAAATTCCATGTAAGGTGTGCAGCAGAAATGTTCTCACAGTACTTAAACCAAACCTTTTTTGTTTTTAATACAGGAAATGACAATGAGATGCACAAGCAAGCTGAGCAAGTGTAAGTTGGCAATTTTTTACATTATTCCTTAACTCTTCTCTCTTTCTACCTCGTGGCAGTAGGTGAAACCTGCTTTTAGTGGCTGTTGGCATTTGCAGAGACATTTTTATTGAGAATAATGTGCATGGGACAGAGTTTCAAAGGCAAAATGCTTGTGAGGAGTTTCAGTGGGTACATGAGGAGTAGTTAGTGTGACAGCAGCAGAGTAGGAAAGGAAATACTAGTAAATTTTGCTCAAATTGTAGTTAAAAAGAAGTGTTAACAGCTACTTGAATAACTTTTTTAGATCCTGCATGTAAAACCAAGGGAGAAAAGTCTCTTACACTGTAGCATTTTGCACAGATAGAAGAAAAAGTAATTTTTTGATTGGTTTCATTAACCATGTGTAAGATTTCTGATGCTTAGTGAAAATGCCAACAGGGAACACTCAGACTTCTGAAGAAATTCACTGTGTTAAGGTTCTATCAAAGTTAATTTTTCCCAGAAGTTGGGAAGATGCAAAGCTTCTGCTTGCTTTAACCTTTTCAAAATCAATTATTTATCCATGTTGATGTCCACTTCCTCTGCATGTTGTAGATCCTTGTCCAGCTTGGAGAACACAGTAGATAATCTGCTTTGGTCCTGCTCTCTCTCTTGATAAACCAAACCTTTCCTTAGAGATTTTGTCCTCCTTGTTAGTTGGGATCATTTTAGGAGCCTGTTTTTGCTTCTGCAAAGCTGCATCACCTGGTAGCAAGATATTAAAGATATTCAAGATGTGTCAGTACTGTCACACTAAATACTATTGACTCTTGGTAAATGTGAGACATAAAAATGGAGTTATTGCACTGAGCAGCAGATTTTCCTTTTTTTAGAGGAAAATGGAGCTCCAGCAGGTATTTTTTCTTGCATTTACATTCTGCTCAAACGTTTTTTTGTCCTCCTTCAAAAATCCTTTGTAGTAAATACATTTTAATCAAGACGAGTAGAGAAACTCTAAACAAGTCATGGATTGATAAAGGTAGTAATTATAAAGGAATATCTTTTTCTTGGAAGCATCCCTGTATTGGTTCAAATAATCTAATTTCAACAGTAGCATAATTGGCTTTTTTTGACAAACCTGACTTAGTTTGCAGTTGAGTCCTGTAACTGCTTCTTACAGTTGTCAATATTTTATAAAAAGTGAAATAAAAAGTATTTTATGAACACTTTTCATTCCAGATTTGGCTGTACTGATTGCCTGGAGTGCATAAGCCAACTCTGTAAATTGGAGGATAAACTGGGATTAATTTTGTGGTTTTATTTTTATTTTAAGAAAATGCTTCAAAAGCAACACAACAGCAATCCTGTGCTTTTTTTAAATTTTTTTTTCCCCACTGATAGCTTTACAATGTTTAAATGGGAAGAAGAATAAGATAAAGGACACCTCACTGAGGTGTTTTCTTGCAAATATATATGTGAATTGGACAGAAAATAAGAATGATTACAAAGTCTGGAAGAATTATAATATAAAGGAATTACATTTATTTACTGGGTGCAGTGAAAACATACTAAGTGCATATGAAAGCATAGGAAATTGCAATCCAGAAACCTGAAAAAATAGTGGAAAAGCTGAATTTTAAAATCACTTGCTGCTGTTGGGGATAATCAAGCTTTGGTGCATTTTGAGGTTCCTCCCTCTTTTTTTTTTCTGATTTTTTTCCATCTTTCAGGAATGCTTTGCATTTGGCTTAAATGCTGTATCCTTCTCTTTCCTCCCCCCTCTTCCCTCCCTCAGTATTGGCAGTGGAGTAATGAGAAAACTTAAAATTTAGAGACTAATTTTGTTGATCTGCTCATCTTTTTGTTGTGATTTAGGAAAACTGAGGCTGATGTTCCTTGGTTGGGCACATGTGGGTTTTCCCCAGTGGTTCTGGAGCTGTAAATGTGTCAATGGCTGAAAGTCACTCCTGGCTCCACCTGACTTTGGTCTAATTCTGTACAATTTTTTCAGTCCCCTTTTAAGAAAGGAATTGGACTGAGCTGGGGTGGAGATTTTGTGGAATTGTGGAATGGTTTGGGTTGGAAGAGATCTTTAAAGATTGTCTCATTCCAATCTGCCAGGAGAGGGAGGGACAGCAGGGGCACCTTCCACTAGCCCAGGTGGCTCCAAGCCCTGTCCAGCCTGGTCTTGGACACTTCCAGGGATCCAGGGGCAGCCACAGCTTCTCTGGGAAATCATTCCAGGGCCTTCCCACCCTCACAGGGAGCAATTCCTTCCCAAAATCCTATCTATCCCTCCCCCCTGTCAATGTGAAGCTATTCCCCCTTGTCCTGGGTGCTCCAAGCCCTGCTTTTAGGATGTGATTCTTAAACCCAGCTGCAGCAAATGTCAACAGTAAAACAGATTTTTTTTATTCCTGACCAACAAAAGCACCAGATACATTCATGCCAAAAATTATTTCCCCAATACATTCTGTAATTTGAGCAATTTCCTCGCGCTAATTTAATTTTCTTAAACAAAAAGCTTAACTATAAAGCTACTTCTCCACTTATTTCAACAAGGACCCCTTCCTTATTATTAAGGGAGTTGTGCAATGAGAGGAAAAACTGCTCCTTTAAAGAGAGGAGGAAGAAAACTCTGCCTGTCCAGTAAATGTTGTGTTTGTATTTCTCTTCAGTACGCTGTTGTCGCAAATATATTCTGCTGTTGTAGAGGCTGTGCTTGCTGGCATTGAGTGCTATGCTAAAACTTCCACTGAATCCAAGGTAAATGAAGCCCCCTGTAATTGTTCTCTCTCTGTAATTGTTGATTTGGATTGCTTGCAGTATGAGTTTTACGTGCAAACCAAAATGAAAACCAAAATAATTCCCATGTTTCGCTCAATGGAATAACACAAGGTTGGTACCCTGGCCTCCAACCAGGCTCTGAATTCTGTTTTTTAAAAAAAAAAAAATAAAAGAGAGATTTCAGAGTGTGTCTGATTTTACCCATCTCCAGTCAGTTTTCCATCTTCTCGTGAATTTTCCTGACCTCACAGTAAGGAAAATGAGATCTGTGAAAGGACAAATTTTAGCCTGGTGCATCAGTGTGTTACTGTTTAGTATCTCTTGTTCATCTTATTTGCTCCTGGAGCTGCTGGGATTTGGAAGGATGGGAAAAGATATTTTATTCTTTTATTTCCTTTTTTCAGGCAAAGGAGGTGGCAGAGCAGGTGCTCCTGTCTGTGTTAGACACCCTTGGCTTAGCACAGCTGAAATCTGCTTTACGGTGTGTATTTCCAGGGTTCCTCATTGCTCAGAGTCCCACTGGATTGGCTTCTTTGGGGGAAAAAATACCAATTACAAGCTGAAAAATATTAATTTCAAACTGACTGCCAGACTTCAAGTCTTCATAAGGCATTCAGCCTTTAAAAAGCTTTATAATTATTTCATTTTCCAGTTTTCTTAATCACTTCTTTAGCTTTAATTCTATTCCTGCTTATTTTTTCCATTTAAAAGTATAAAGCACACATTTCACCTGTACAATTTCTGTTCTACAGCTCCAAAATCGCTTTTCAAATTCAGGCTGTGAACAACCATGGCAGGTTTGTATCACTATCTTACAACTTCTTGTTACTAATTAGTGCTTTTCATACACTAATAAATTAATTTTTGTCCTGCAGAAACCCTTGTGTTTGATTATTTTATACAAGATGTGCTCAGTGCTTTTGTGTATGATGTAGTTCAGTGATTTCCTATCTGTAATTCTGTGGAATCTTAAAAACATTAAAAGGAATAAAAAGCAGTTGGGCAGACTAATTTTATTAACTGTTAATGAGTAGAAGCAGCATTGAGCTCATTAAGAGTTTCCTTTTAAAAATGCTTTTAACTTAGTTGATATCACAAACTTGTGCTTATTTAATCCCCATACTAATAGACTGAAATGACCTGCACAAATAAGTGTTTATTTTAAAATAAAACAGCTTTTTTGGCTGCTGTGGAGTCACAGAAAGATGATCTAATATTTTAATATTTAATTATCATTGTCGTTCTAGAATTACTCCGTTAGATAACGAGGATAGCCTCAGTTTGATCAAAACGGTAAGAAATAATAATATTTATATATTTAATTAGAAAATAGAGTTCAAGTGTCTGTTTTCCTGGGGCATAGTGAGATTTTTATGTGAACACAAGTGTAAGGGGAGAGATGAGAGAGATTTCAGCTGCTGGAACAGGTTTAACAAGAAGTCATAATTCAGAATAAAACATTAACACAGATTTACGATCTCAGGCTTTAACCACAGTATAGAAGTAGTGGTTTGGGATGTTTGAAAAATACAGATTTCACTGTTCCAATTGAAATATTTCAAGTTCTGCTTTCTCTTCCCTTCCCCTCCAACTGCTGGGTTGCTGCAGGCATCCATGATGGTGTTTGACATTCCAGACCTGCTCACGGGAAGAGGATGCTTGGGATCTGTTGTGTTTTCAGAGTCCTTCCTGACATCACAGATACAGGTCAAAGAAAAAGGTGAGTGGTTTAAATTCTAAAATTCAGCACCACTCTTGTCCTTCTGTTGGCTTTGCTGTGATGGGAAAGCCAGAGGAATTCCAGTGGATGTTTTTGCTGTTACCCTGATGGGTTTGGAGCACTAAGAGCAATGGAAGAAGGTATGGAAAGATCAGAATAAATCAGGATTTCTTTGGAACTCTGTAGCAGCTCTGTGTATGTCAGAGCACAAGTGAACTGGGAGTTAATCTGCTGTGAAAGCTTCATTTAAACACTCCGAAATCCTTAAAATAACAGGATTTTAATATTTACTAAAGAAATTTCGAGTCTTAAAAGTAACATACTGGGCAGTCTGAAGTATATGGGTGGTATTAGTCTAGTGGCCACAGTGATATGAGGCCAAAGGTTGGATTTGGTGACCTTGGAAGTCTTTTCCAACCTTAGTAATTCCCTGATTCCTCTGCTTTGCTTCCCGTGGCTTCCCTGCAGATGGCAGCATCCATCCAGACTCCAGGCACGTTATCCTGACCGCAGCTATCCCGAGATTCGCTTCCTGGCTGGTGAGTGAGAGCACACAGCCTCAGCTCATCCACAGAACAGAACTTGGTCTGGGAGTGTGGATGTCTGAGGGAAAATATGGAACTTGAGCATTGAAACAGAATTTTGTAATATTAACATACCCTGTTTTTTTAGACTTGGACAGTAAGTGAAAAACTAAGTGGAAACAAGCTGATGGTTCCATCCATAGCACGAGTTTTAAATTATTTCATTTTCACCTCATTGGGTTTTTAGCTGGTTAAAGGTCTGGGAGGTTTTTGAAGTGCACAGTGTGACTTTGGAAAATTCTGTTTATTTTGGGGCATTTTAGATCACCCCAAAAGAAAGCAAACTCAGGTTCAAGACCTCTAATGCACCTCTAGTTACTCTGTGTGAGATAGAATTCCAAAGAATATGACAAAGCTGGGCATTACCCTTTGGCAATGCATGCTTCAACAGTAATAAAAAATAAAATTGCATGCTTTCCACCTATATAATATTATTTTAGTTATAAAACAATTTAATGGGGAGAAAATGGTGCAAGAAATTATTTTGGTCCCAAGGTAACACAGTATTAAGAGCGCAAAATTGGTTTTGAAACACTCTGGGCTTAGGACTTTTTCTGTCTGTGGTACCTGAGGTTCTTGTTGGCCTCAAAACTTCTTTAATGCCTTTTGTTTAATGTTAGATTTACTTTATTTCTATAAATCACAATTCAAATAGAAGCTGTTTCTGGCTGCAGGTTGAAGACAGTGATGTGAAACTGTCTGAAAAGGCACAGCAAGTATTGAAGGTAAAATTAAATATTTTTGTTAAACTAAAAAAGTTACACTTTGTTGAACCAGTATTTGAGAAACTTGAGCTACTACCAAACTCTCTTTTTGTTATATGTGTTACTTCTCTTCTACAAAACTTGCCTTTTTCAAACTTTGACATACAAAATAATATATTGTGTGTAAAAGTTTGAGGGTTTCTTTATTTCAAAGAATCACAAAACCCGAGAGCAAAAAGAGTCCTAATAAAACTATGATTTCATGGAAGTATCACTAAACACTACTCATAGAGCTCATGGGTTTCCAAAAGCCCCTAAAACTTGATGCAACTTTCTTTTAACTTAATTAGCATGCTAATGTCTAAAAGAAAACACTCTAAGCACTAGGAAAAAAAAAAGAGTTTGGAATCTGGGAACGTCTTAAATCACATGAGTTTCACATTTGTGGTGTAATTTGTGGTTCCCAGGAATGTTCATTATAAATAGATTTATTTTCATGTAGTATACTTTTAGCTCAGTAGATTGACAAACTAAAAACAAAAAGCTCAGCCTTGTGGTTGTGACAATAACTTGTAACTTTGTAGCTGCTGGCAAAACCAAAATGGGGGGGGAAGGCTTTTAAAAATTATCCTTTTGCCTTGCTCTCTTTTCCTGGTCCTTCTGTATCCATGCAGGATAAAACTATTTTAAAAGTTCTTATCAGATGCTGTTTGAAAATTAAATATTTTCTCTTGGAGCAAAAGCAGGAGAAAATGTTTCAGCCTGGATTGGTCCTTGATCCAGTCTGTGATGTTGCTGTTTGTTTTTTCCTGTGCAGGAAGACAAATCTTTCCTGGGCACTTTACTCACTGGGGGTGATGGAGTTTATATCTGTTCCAGCAATCCACAGGCCATGCCTGCAGAAGGTGAGATCTAGTTTTTTTTGGCTTTTTTTTCTTGTTTTTTCTCGTTTTGTTGGTTTTTGTTTTGTTTTTAAACATGAGAGAGAGATTCTGGGATTCACACTCTGATGAGCCAAACTGTGCCATCATCTTAAGCTTTCAATTTGCCTTTACAAGTCTCTTGTGTTTAATTCCATGTCTGGTTCTTTTGTCCCCAACCTCTGCCTGAAAATCCTGGTCCTGGAAGGAGAATTCCTGCTGAGCTTTGGTCACTGAAGCTTTGCAGGACTGGGAGGTGGCTTTTCCCCATAGCTCACATTCAAAACATGCACAGACTGGCTCTTCCTGTCCCTAACAGATGAGGTGCCAGATGTTTTCTGCCTTTTCTGTCTCTTACAAAAGTGTGGTTGGAAAGATTTGCCATTGCAGAAGTGCTGTGGGCAGGAGGAGAAGGCAAATACTCCTCTCAAAGCCTCCTCCTGGAGCTGACACGTTCCAGTTTTCTGCTGCTGGCATTTTCTCTCAGGAATTCAGAATTTGTCAGCACAGGTACTCACTGTGGTTCAGAAAAATGCCAGATTTTGGTCCTTCTCAGAACCAGTCCAGTTACAGCTTTTTGACACAAGATCCCTGGCAGCAGTCTTGGATTATTCCTCCTCTTTTGGTGCCTTTTCCTTCAAGAACTTAAATAACATGAGTATCACAGGAATAGGACTGAAGACAATTTGATAGGACTGTTAGATTTTCCTCCCTCCTTGTGCCTTCAATAGATACTTTTTAAGGCACAGTACTTCTATATTCTATATATATATTTTATACAGAGAAAGTGGTGGTGTCACAGTGCTGATGTGCAGCAGAACTGCTGCACATAAATGACTTTATGTCACTTATCTGACATTAAGTGTTTGGTGCTGACAGTCTTTAGAGGAGAACCTTCAGCTTTATTGTCTTTGTCCTGGAGTGTTGAGGTTAAATAATGATGTGCAAGGCAATTAAACAGCAACCCTCACATAAGGGAAGCTGCTTTTGCTCTAATTGATCAGATTTCAAAGAGAAGAGGTTAATGCAGAGTGTGATATTCAGCTGTTTTGCAATGCAGTGCTGTAGGCACTCCTTCACTCAGTAAATAACTGGAGAATGCTGCATTTTTTTTTTATTTTGGAGATCTGTGTGCCCCAGAGGAGCAATTTACTGGTTTTTTTTTGTGGAAATCTGTGAAGTTCAGTGTTTTACTTACTCCTGAGTTGGAGAGTTACAAGTAAGTGCTATAAAGACCATTATGAAACACTGCAAGAAGTGTGAGATTTTTTTTTTTTAGGTGTCAAATGAAGTTGATTTTGTTCCCCAGTTTGTTGTGCTCAAATTTGGGCTCTGCTGAAATTGCAGCCCTGTAGTCTGGCACTATGAGGTGCAAAAACTGCATAAAATTCATGGAATAGTTCAGGTTGGAAAGGACCTTAAGGAACATTTAGTTCCAACGCCTTGTCATGGGCAGGGACACCTTCCACTAGCCCAGGTTGCTCAAAAATTTTTAATTATTAAGTTAAATTTTAATTTAAAATCTAATTATTAATTCAAATTTTAATTTAAAAATTTATTACTAAGTTTAATTTTAATTTAAAATCTAATTATTAAGTTAAATTTCAATTTAAAAGGGAAATTTTAAGTTAATTTTTAAAGTTTAAATTAAACTTAGTGTTTAAATTTTCCACTTAAAGGTTTTTATGCTGTTTAGTTTGTTACAATGTTTAAACTTCCTACTGTTTGAGATGCAATCGTTACTTAAATTCTTGTATTGTCAGTTTTGTATTTCTGGAAGTTTGAAATTTGACAGGATGGAATTTCTTTGCCTTTAATTTTAAAAAAATGCCACAGAATATTTATGAGAAGTGGTTCTGTGGGGTCAGATGAACTCAGATGCAGTGGTAGTCACGATTCCTGCCCTTGGTAGTGCAGATCCAGTAAAGGCTGAAAGGTTGTGCTCACTAAATATTACCCAAATCAAATTTATGCTTATTACATACAACAAAATCCTGCAGGAGCATAGAATTCTTCCTCAGGAAGAAGAGACAGTCATTGTGAGAAGCTGAAATGTTGATTTATACCTCATACAATTATTTTTCCTTCAAATTCTAGGCAAATTGTATTTCTTTTCCGATGGAATTCTGTTCTGTGATCCCCACCAAGGCAGCATTTCCATTTCCAAGAACCACATGAGTTCCATTTCTCTCTATGATGGGGTGAGTATTTTGTCTCTTCTTTCTATCATAAAGTTTACATGGATTTTTAACAATGATTCTGTTGGGTCCTGGTACAAAGTTTAGATTTCAGCTTCAGTTTTAAGCGTCTGTACAACTGTAATAACTGATGCAAGTTTTGGTGCTGATTAACTGAAATTAGTGAGTAAGGAGGAGAGAATTTTGTATTGGAGTTAGCAACGCGGTGTTAATAGTGTGAAAACTGCTTTTTATGAGAACTAAAATTACAGAACATGACATTCATCAGACATCTCACACAGTGTGAAGGGATAGAGAAGAGTTCAGAGTGTGGTGAAATCATAGGGTGTTTTTGGAGGGTGAAATGCTGCCTTTTTAATAAAAATATATTTGAATCTCTCACTTGGCTTCCAGAGCAGCGTTCAAGTGCTCTCAGTGGGAATTGAGAGGTTAATGATGGCAGCTCAACTCTGTTCACCTCAGGGCAGAGACACTGGGTTAACCAGCACTTCTTCAGGGTAAAATAGAGATTATTTGTGTTGGTTACTGTTTCCTAAACACCGAGAGAAAAAAACCAACCAGTTCCCTTTAGTTTCCCTTTTGTTCAGGTACAGTATTCCCCATTTGTTCAGTGGCCTCCTGCAGCATTGTGCTGGGTGATTTCATCACACAATAGAGGAAACCAGTAAAATACAATAAAAATGTGATTCAATTGAGATGAAAACACGGCAGCTCAGAGAGTCTTACCTTAGCTGCCTTTTCTTGGACATCATATTGATTGCCCCTCGGTCGTTTCAGAAGCTATTTTAACACTGACCTTCCTTTGATTGTTTGAGTCAAGACACTCACTTTCATAAAAGTTGCTATTTCTGGGACCTGGCCATCATTCTTGAATAGATGCCAGATTTTTGTGTGAAGCTAAGCCTTGACAGGGAGTGTGTTATTGTTCTACTGACTTGGCAAAATATGAGGGTGGAGAGTTTTTAAACTGTTAAGAAGTGACAGGAGAAGCAGGGGAATCATTGGTTGCTCCTTCCAAAAGTTACTGCAGCAAGATGGATGGAAAAGAAAAAGGAGAATTTAGTGCTTGGATTAAAATAAAAGATACCAAGCCTTGAAGTGATGCAAAATGCATTTTTTTAGCAGCTTTAGCATGATGCCAGTGAGATATTCTTTTTTTTTTAACTTGAAAATATCTGCTCTTCTGTTCCTGCACGTGGTGCAGATTCCTGTGAGGAGCTGAGCTCCTGAAATCCCTGGGGCTCATGCATAGAGGGCAGGGGAGATTCTGGCCATTCATCAAGTGAACAAATATTACCAAGCAATATTTAGATTTCACAACGACATTAACATCTTGTAAAACTTGGAGCTGGCTCCTTTCAGCCTCGTGTCTGTGAGGATTATTGCTGCTGCTGCTTTTCAGCTTTTTTCAATTTGTGGAGCCCAAAAATGTTTTCCAGGAGCGGATTTGTTGGACATTTCTCATGCTGACAGCAGTGTGGATGAGCTGGCCTTGGAGTCACTTCTCAGGAACTCTCTAAGCCATCCTGCAGAATCCAGGATCTGTGGATTCTCTTCCAAAAGCCATTTTCTTTTAAAAGAAATTGTTCTCTTTGAGGAGAATATTTTTAATGTTCTTCAGTAGCCTCAGTGACTTTGAGAGGATTATTTTTATAATTAATCCCTCAGTCAGCAAAGCAGAGCGATTCTGTTTGCAGTGTCTCTGAGTTGATACCAATTCTTATGTAAGAGTTCCCCAATTGAGTTTTTTTCTTCTCAACAAGTACAGTGAGTTCTTTGCCCATTTCTATTGAAAGTGAAGGGGATGCTACTAAAATTCTGATTTGAGTCCTACATAATTGAATTCCCATTACCCAGAAATATTTAATGTTTCTGAATTGTTCTGATTTTATAAACCTTCTATGTGAAGAGGGTTACAAGTCAGAGCTTGAACATGAAACAGTTCAGCATCCTGTAGATTTGTACCTAAATGCCTGTTCTGGAATCCAGAGTCATGGAATGGTTTGGGGTTGGATGGTTTGGGTTGGAAGGGGCCTTGAAGCCCATCCCATTTCACCTCCTGCTGTGGGCAGGGACACCTTCCACCACCCCAGGCTTCTCCAAGCCCCATTCAACCTGGCCTAGAGCACTTCTAGGGATGGGGCATCTCACACCACTCTAGGAACAAAACCCAAAACAAACTAAAAAATAATCCAAGAAAAACAAGTCAGTGTTTTCTTAGAATAAAAATTGAACCTGAGTTCAGTTCTTCTGAGTGAAACACAACCTCAGGACTTCAGTCTCCCTTGACACCTTTGTAGCTGGCATTTAATTAATTTTTCACGTGCTGTCTGTGAGGGAGATGTGGGTATAGACAAAGTGTTTGTTGTTTGAAGCAGCAGCAGAGGGAGGGTCTAGGTTTTGGTGTGGACAAGAGAAGATACTAAAATTCAAGCTTTGTTTTCAGGACAAAAGTTTTTAGTGCTTAAATGAAGCTCAAATCCTTTATTTTAAGCTTGTGACACCTCCAGTAGCTGCAGAGTAGAAACTGAGGGGTGCTCCACCCCTCCTGCTCCATCCCTGTGCCATGCAAAGGTAGAAAACGTTAATTTTAACTTGTCCTGTTTCTTCCTTTTCCAGGATTCCAACAGTGTTGTTGCTGCTCTCTTTATAGACTTCAAAAGTTCCCTGCTTCCTCATCTCCCTGTTGAATTCCACACCCAGAACAACTTTCTGATGATTGCACTTTTTCCCAAAAGAAAGATTTATAAAGCTTTTTATTCACAGGTAAAGTGAAAAAAAAGTTTGGTTGGGGTGGGGGAGAAAGCACCTAATCGCTCTGTGTGTTTAAGATGTGTGAGAAACTCAAATTTCTGTACGGATTTCCAGTGGTGGTGCTGCTTGTTGAGTTTAATGCTCCCCATGTGCTTTCACTTTGCCTTCTGAACGCAGTGAGGGCTCTAAAATCTCTTTTTCTGAGCTGCATTTCAATGTAGCTCTGGTGTCTAATTTGCTACAGGGATTGTATGGAGTGGCAGAGGTTCCATTGTGTGTTTTTGTGGTCAGACACATTTGGATCGTGATCCTTGGGGAAGTGGAGTTAAAGTTTTTAAGTCTCCCATATGGCATTGTATTATTCCCTAAGTAGATTGGCTTCGTGCATTGTGCTGCAGAGGCTTTTAATAAACCCAACTTTATAACAATAGTGCTTTTGAGGAAATGAGCCTGGAGATTTTAGGACTTCACAAGGATTTTAGGATGTGCTCATCACACTGGGTTGGAAAAGACCACCTAGTTCAGTGAGTAGTCCCCACTGGTCGTATTAATGGTACCATAAAATGTCTCCTCCTTTTATCTTAAGTGTTTAAATTCCTCCCACTGTTCCACTTGGTGAATGGTTGGCAATCTGTTGTTTGTTTGTATTTGAATTTTCAGCCTATTTTATTAATTCTGCTTTTATATCTGTTTTTTCTTTTCTCTACCAGAATACATCCTCAAGATACTCACAAATTTCAGATCTATTCTTTCTGCTTTATTTGGCCTAATAAAACAAAACCAGATCCTTTTTAATCTATGCTTATAAAAAGTTCTTTTTTCTTCTGATAGTTGTGATACTTTTTCTTTTGATCTGGTTTTTGGCTGTAGGTATCCAAGCTGTGTGTAGTGTCTGAGATGAGGGTGTTTCCTCTGCTGCTTTTTCTCAGGGTTAATTATTCCTGTCCTCCTTTGAGTTAATTTTTTTTTTTGCTGTACTGGTCTACACTGAGGTTCAGTTTGGTCAGTTCAAGTTTCTCATCTGGCATCACACAAGTTGCTTTGCTCAAGCAGATAAAACAAACCTTTTGTCTTCAGGATGTTCTCTCATGAGCAAAACTCTTCATCAAATTGACTGTACCTGATTGTGAAAACCATGTAAATATATTGTTGTGTTTTATCAGTATTTACCTTCAGGTGTTTATTGATTTCCTCCAAAATTCTTTCTAAAATTCTGTGTGCCTCACAGGTTACTAAAATTTAGGTGCTGCTTCTACTCTTCTCAATTATCTGGCTTGATACCTCACTCACTGCACCTATATTTGATTATTTCAAGCCTCATGGAAATAGGGAATTGCAACTGCCCTGTTACCCAAATCTGGGTTTGTTAGAAACTGCGATGTTGCGCCCACAGAGCTGAAATCTGCTGTGATCCTGTGAGGAGGATGAGGTGATGCCTTTCCCATCCTCACTCTCAAGAGTACAGGAGGAGAATTTATTTAGGCTTTGGGACGTGTTGATTTCTCTCATTTTTTTTCCTTCACTGCTGTAGCAGCTCTTTTTTTAAACTTTCCTTAAATTATACAAAAGGGCCTGATACATTTCCATTTTTTAGCCTGACCTGTGTTTTCACTTTATCCCCAACCCTTTGACTCTTACAGAAACAATTTTCCCTCAACCATTCCTTTTTTCCATCCCTCCCAGGCATTTCTTTGAGTCCCCCTCTGTGTGTTTTGAAGTGGTTGTTTCTTTGGTTGTGTGGATCCTTCTGCATGAGCAATATTGCCTTTGTTAATATCAAAAGTATATTTTATTTTGATGTTTTTTTATCTCCTACTCTTGTGTTTGGGATGCTGAGTTTTTAATGGAAAGCAGTCGTGTCCCCCCCCCAGTTATTTTGTCTTGCAGAGAGTTATTGTGAAAAACGACAATGGCTGTTGCCTTTACTTACGAAAAGAAGGGAAATTCCAAACACTGACAGGACTTTGTGATTCATCTGAATCTGATTTCTAGGTTCCCATTGCCATTCAAATTAATGTGTCTTGGCTGGAGCAATTGGATGTGAGCCAAAACATTCCCTAGAGAAACGAAGGGTTTCCTTTTCTTTTGGGAGGGAACAGAGTTTTTCTTCAATTTCGAGTCATGATTGCTGCAATCTCACCTCATGAAAATTACAGCAGTGCTTCAAAGAGACTTGTATTAATTCAGTTCCTGCTTTAGAGCACTTAGGCTATAAGGACTTATATTTTTATCAGGAAAAACGAGGCCATTTCAGTAAATTCCTAAAGCACTTCCAGTCTAGCCAAAGAAAAGATTGCAAAATCTGATTGGTGGATTTGAATTCTTTATTAGTTTGGGTTGGAAGGGACCTCAAGGCACATCTCATTCCAACCCCCTGCCATGGACAGGGAACCTTCCACTATCCCAGGTTTCTCCAAGCCCCATCCAACACTTGGACACTCCCAGGGATGGGACAGCCACAGCTTCTCTTGCAGCAAAACCTTTATGGTGCAGTATTTAATGGCTTGTGAAAATGTGTCAATTTTTTTTTTTAGGTGAGCAAAACCAATTCCTAAACAAATTCAAAGCAAATTTGGGAAAATAATGACACTCATGCATAGATCTGGTTTATTTCAGGTTTTCTCTTCATGGCAAAGCCAGACAAGCTCAGGATTATCTTTAAGGGTTGTCCAGGAAGAATTCCTGTCTGAGGAACAAAAGAGGCTGTAAGTTCCTGCTAGTGCAGTGCAATTGCCCAAAAGCTGCAATCAGAAAAATGCTGTTATTTATTGTTTTTGATAATAATTAAATTTGATATTAATTTTATAAAAAAATGGTACATTCTTAGTGCAACACTCACTTTATATATTTTTTTTGGTACCATTTAATATATAGCCATATGGTTTAAAGAAGAGAAATTTTTAGGTTTCTCCTTTAACTGATTAATTAATTTCCTTCTTTTAGGCATTCCAGTGTTCAGAAGCTCTTCAATGCCTTGTCTTTTTCATCTGGGGAGAGATGCAGGGAACTGAAGCTGTCTGCTGCCATTCCAGAATTGAAGAGGTGAGAAATTACTTTTGACTTCAAGGGATTCATTCTGTCAGAAATGGTACAAGGATATTTTGGTAGATGTGATAGCCATCTAAAAACATTCCTTAAATAATTCTGTCTTTACACTAGGATGTTTTTATTCTGAGATGAATTATTTCCTCTCTAGCTTGACCTTTTAATACTCTTGTTTTAGTAATTTCCCAGCTATTTATATGGATGAAACCTTTTGCTGTCAATTTTAAGGAAGTAAACCTTTTATTTTTTGGAAGGTTTATGCAGCACTTCACAGTCAGCAGCGTCAGTACCAAGCCAGTGATGAGAGCACATCTTCCTGTCCTTCTCCAACAGTCAGAAACCATTTCTGAAAGCAAAGCAGAAGGTGATAAGGTAAGAAAACAACTCCACAATAATTCCTAGCCCTCGAATATTTGGAATATTCTGGCAGTAGTTCTTTCGTAGTGTAATAAAATCCTAATTGTGTTCAGCCATGCTCTGCCTCCTCCTCCACTACCACCATTTTTTTTTTGGCCTTGTTTTTCTAATTATATACTTAATTCTTTTCCCATTTAAATGATCTTTTGGAAGTGCAAATGGCCTTTCAACCAGATGAACTAGAGGCAGAAAATGAGGTGTAGATCTTCAAGTGAAGTGTTTTCTCTAATGCCCAGAGAGACTTTGCCCTAAAGCAGCAGCTTGTTTTTATGAATTGCTGAATAATGTAACTGAATTGTTCTCTGGAACATAAAAGTCCTTTAAATAGCATAGAGGTAGCACATGATATTTAACATTTGCTGATATTATCTGTACAGCACTCCTTTCTCTATAGGGGCTATAACAATTGTCCAACTTAAGGTTTGCTTTAAATAGCATATTCAGAGAAAATATTTCCTTGGAGCTTCCCAGCTTTTGAAATCTGCTAAAAACAAAGTCAAAACAACAGGAATATAATCTTTTCTTGGAATATTGCTGGGGTCTGTTTCAGAAACCATTCTGACAATTAATAAACCCTTAGGAAGGTTTTAAAATCTGATTTTAAGCTTGGTTTAACTGTGGATTTTTTTAAAAAAAGAAGGAAAAATCTTTATGAATCATGGAAAACAACCTTCTTGGTGTCTGCACCAGTGTTTCTGTGTTATTTTGTGTTTAGACTTCCCCTGTTCCTGTGTTGCAGGTGATCATCACCATCATCACCGGGCTGCCAGGATGCCGTTCCAGCGACCTGTGTTCTTTCCTTGTCACTTTTACCAAGGAGCATGGAAGGTTTGTGCAGCTCTGCTTACACTGATCACCAAAAAACAGCTTGGCATGAAGAGGAAAAAAAAAAATTTAAAAAAAATCACTGTTCAATTTGGTGGTTTTTTAAACCTAATTTCAGACTGCCAGGTAGATTTGCCCTTAAATTTATATATTTAGACAGAAAAACAGCACAGGAGATTTTTGTTGCCTATTCCATGTGGTGAAGAGCTTCTGTTCATTGGTTTGTAGTGATTCTAAAATTTTGTTTTGAGAAAAGACTGTACTAACAGTCCTTGCCACATCATTGTTTTTAATTTAGCCTGATTTGAGGTACATTCAGGACATCTGTTGTATGGCAATAAGATAAATCTGCTGTAGGAATTTGCCACTCTGTGTTGATAGAGCTTCTGGAAAATAAAAAAAGAATCTTACCCTTTTAATTCTTACAGCCAAACACCTTAACATTTAATCTTAGCCACATTCTGCCCTGTTTTTTTACTTTTAACTCAATGTCTTGGTTTTATCAAGTTGATTCAGAACAGTTTTGTGGTTCTGTTACAGGGCAGACACGTAAGGTGACTTTTGAAGGTTGTGTAATAACACATCTCATGTTTTCTGCAAATGTCATTCTTACTTTCCATTTTTGCAGTGAAATATTTTCATGCCCATAGCCTTGAATTGGATTTGTCTAATTTTTGTTTACTGCATCACTGCCAGTGATCAGAATTACTCATGTGATGTACAGCTTTGAAAAAGCTGGTGAACATTGTTTTATTGAAAAACAGCAAAAAAACACCCACAAATCCCCTTGGCAGTCATATAAAGAATGTGCTTATGCTGGAAATGACAGAAAGCCAAGTAAATTCCCTTCTCCCACGTGGCCAAGTGGAACGAGATCACGACGAGAGATGAGGAATCTTTGGGCTTGTCAAACTTCATTTTGGTCTGTTGATTCAAAATAGGAAGAGAACAGAACTGTATCACAGCACATGAACTTTTTTCCTTGTTGTCTGTGCTTCAGGTGGATTGTTTATCGGCAGACCATGGATAGTCCAGAGTGTTTCAGTGCTTCCCACTTCCAGCGTTTCCTGGCCGGGCTCCTGGAGGCCCAGCAGAACCTCGGGGTCCGTCAGGCTGGGAAGAGCAGGAGGCTCCTGGTGGTGCTGCAAGGGTAAAAGCTTGAAACTCTTGGAACTGTTGTGTAGAATAAGGGAATTCTGGTTTACTTGTGGACCAAACTCAGTTTTTCTGTCCCTCGTGATTTTGTTGTTGCTTTGGAAAAAAGGTGTCTGTAACCTTGATTTCTATGTTCTGGAAACATTGTGCACTCACAGCCCAGAACCCAGAACCAGAACTGTGCCCTGGGCTGTTTCCCCAGCGTGGGCAGCAGGGGAGGGGGATTTTGTCCCTGAGCCCTGCTCAGGTCAGACCCCACCTGCAGAGCTGCCCCAGCCCTGGGGCCAACAGCAGGAGGATGTGGAGCTGCTGGAGAGAGTCCAGAGGAGGTCACAGAGATGCTCCAAGGGCTGGAGCCAGGCTGGGAGTGCTGGGGGTGCTCACTTGGAGAAGAGAAGGCTCCAGGGAGTGCCTTCCAGGGCAAAAAGGGGCTCCAGGAGAGCTGGAGAGGGACTTGAGACAAAGGGATGGAGGGACAGGACGTAGGGAATGGCTTCAAATTGAAAAAGGGAAGATTTGGTTGGGATATTGGGAAGGAATCCCTGGCTGTGAGGGTGGGGAGGCCCCTGGATCCCTGGAAGTGTCCAAGGCCAGATGGGAGCAACCTGGGATAGTGGAAGATGTCCCTGGTTGTTGCAGGGGGTTGAACTAAGATGACCTTTAAAGGTCCCTTGCAACCCAAAGTGTTGTGTGATTCTGACTGCAGAGCTGCCAGCAGAAATCAGCCTGTCAGAACCTGTTGTCTGATTGAGCAGGTGATAGCAGAGGAAGAGTTAGTAATGTGTTTTGGATAAATGCCATTTTCCTTGGCATTGTGGGATAAAGGTGAAGACTGAGCCACCTCTGGTTGACATTTCCATCTCCAGTGTAGCGTTTGAGAATGAGGATCATCTTCTGAGTCATTAGAAAGTGACATAAACCAGTGTGAGGGAGGCACTACCCTGACCTGGCTGCAATGATTTCCAGTTTATCCTTTACACTGAGGATATACAAGTGGAGCTCAGCACTTTCTTCATTGGGGTCCATTCTGATAGTGCTAAAAACATTTTTTTTTTTCCATGTTGGAGCCAGATTGATTTATTTTTTTGTGTAATTAGTAGAGATGGTGTAAAGTCCAGTGATGGGCAAAATAGCTGATACTCTGGTAGCAGCACTGGCTTCAGCAACAATTGGAAGTCTTCCATTCTCTCTGGATAGATGGATTTGGTATAAACAGCTTTAGAGTAGCTAGAGTTCTCTAAATATCCTATTCAGTTGATAACTTGACAGTAGAGAAAAGTTTGTAACTGGCTGAGAAATAAATACCTGAAATTAAAACTTGGGTTCACCTTGTTGTCATACAGAGATAAAATATAGCAGTGGTTGAAGTCCTGATAAAAAATGGATGCATTAATGACAGAAACATATTTAAATTGGGATGCTGATAAGTGAGAGATGCTGTTATGTTACTGCTTTTCTTACTCAAATTGTGCTTAATATGCTTGGCATTAGGCATAAAACGTTTGTGTTAGATTGTGCTTTTTGTGCTTCCTGCAAGCTGGACTTTCCACTTGTTCAGTGCAAAGTTTACACTGTTTTTCTCTGGAGTTGCTAATAATTTATTTTTAATGCAACTTACAATCAGATTGTCTGGATTTGCTGGAGTTGTCTGGATTTGCCAAGTTCTGATCTGCTTTCCATCTCTTTTGGTGGCAGTTTTAGAAATCTTGTTTTCCTCCGAGCCATTGATTTCTTCCTGACTGGGGAACTGTGGTGTTACGGTTCTCTGAACCCATTTTTCATTTTGGTTTCTTGCAGGTACACTGATGTTATTGATGTTGTGCAAGCTCTGCAAACTCACCCTGACCCAGATGTGAAATCTTCCTTCATCATTGGAGCAGTCAACACCTGTGTGGAGCCCCTGAGCTGCTACATGGAACACAGGTGTGCTTTGAAATATTTAAGAACAGATATTTCTATTTTTGGTATCACTTTTATAATAATTAGTGATTTATGATGGTTAAAAGCCACTGAACTGACTTAAATCCCATAAAACTGCTTAATAATCCATCTTGGAGGAACTTGGAAGTGCTGTTTGGTTTATCAGGATGGCACTTGGTTTCCACTGGATATATAATTATATAGAATATCAATAAAAGTTTAGCTCCCAGAAGAATAAACAAAGATTGTTTAAATGCAAATCCTCTGATTTGTAACATTTGGACAGTCAGTTGTGCTCTGAATAATTCTCTTTTTTGCCATCTTTTTGCAAGTCAGACTAGAAAAGGAGACGTGCATCTCAGTTTGGGTTATTGATTCTGCCAGTACTTTTGGATGTTTAAAAAGACTTTGCAGATTTAAAATATAGAATTTAAGGGAAACAACCCCTTAAATGGGGAAGAGAATGACAAAGCACGGAAGCCAAAGCATTGCAAGTGTTAAAATCTGATATCCTGGGTTACTGCAGAGTCAGGGTGGGGAGGAAATGGTCACAGAGCCAAGTCACTGACCTTTTGAAATAGTGTGGTTTCGTAGTAAATGTGTGTGCTCCAGACTTCAACAAACATGGAAATAATTTCTCAGACCTATCTGTAAAATTGTAACACTCCAATTTTTTAATTATGCCTTGCAGCTGATTTGATAAAAGTAAGTTCCAGCAGTTAGAGTTTTTGGAGTTGGTAGCACTGCTTCTGTTTGTGATCAAACTGTGCCTCACAGCTTAGAGGTGAACTGCCCAAGCAGTTTCTAAAAGTGCATTCCTGACATTTCCTGGCTGGTCTTAAACACTAACCAACGTGCTGCTTGTGCTTTGCAGTAGTCATTAAATAGACCTTACCTTGCTGCTTCTTCTTGTCTCTGTGACAAAGATACCAAATAAAGACTACATAAAATATTGGTGAATTGATGCTGGAGTGCTGTTTAAAACTTGTTCTTTCCATAATTATAGGAAAGACAAGTTCCATTTCTGTTTTATTTTTAACTTACTAACGTGTTTCTAGTCACGGTACTGCGTAGTGTTATAGCAGCAGCAGCCTGAATCCTTTAACACTGTTTGTCTCCTGAAATGCAGAAGCAATTGAAGGAAGAGGCTCAGCCTGTGCTGTAGATTATTTTTGTTTTGCTTTGGAGTTTATTCTGATAAGAATTTACCAAGTAGCCACACAGTGCCAATGGGAAGCTTTGGTGATTTCGCTGTGGGAATGGAGAAGAGTGGATTTCATGTCTGGCTTGAAACTTGCACTCAGGAAAATCAAACCCATTTCCTGCCTCAGAGTTCAGCACTGTAGAAATCCAGCTCTTCCATGAGCATGGGATGAAGCTTTTCCCCATTCTGAATTAGCAGACCAAGGCAGGGGAGAGGGAGTTGAAGGGAACAGGTAAAATACTCTCTTGAGGTTTTGTGTCCATGATAAAGGTCCTGAAAATAATTGTCATTTGTCTGACACAGCAGCAGAAATTGGCATTCTGTACATCCAGTCTTTATATGGAAAGTTCCCACTCTTTGAAAGACACAATTCTTTAGGGCAAACTTTAAATTCCTATTGTTTAAATAAGAATTAAAGTAACATTGAAGCATTTCTAACTCCTTAGAATACAGAATAAATTGCATGGTGGGAATTAGCTCTTACATCTGTTGGAGAATTAAAACTGTCTACAAAACTGATTTTTTTTGGGAAAAATCCTGAAAGGCATAACCTGTGAGGATGTTGCAGTTATATGGATTGAGGAAAAGAAGCATGAAAATGGTTTGGTTCATGAGACTCTGTCAGCATCCAAGTGAATGTAAATGTTTTACTTAAATAATAATAATATCAATTCTTGATACGTGAACTTTTTGGTTTTTTAGGCTTCTTTTCCCCAAGTTCTTGGACCAGTGTTCACAAGGTATGTGTCACTTTTCCTGACTTTGAGCTCTACAGAACAATAACTGAGCCATGTGGCCAAATAAATACCTGTATTTATTATTTTGTGCTATTAATACACGTAGCTAAAGGGTCATGATAAACTCTTGGAGGTAAGAACAGACAATCTCTGCCTACATCAAACATCATAGGCAGAAAATGAAAAAAATTCTGGAGCTTGATCCATTTTGAAGTCCTCGTCTGCAGGATGGGTTTCCCAAAAATCATGAATTAAACTTCTCACCTTCAACTGCTGTAACTGGGAGTGAAATTAATTGGATTGGAGTTCCACCCTCCTTTGGGGTTGTGTGAGGAAATAGCTTTCCTTTCATTTCTGCTCTATTAGAAAGGGAAAAATGAGGGGTGACCCCAAATCCTCCTCTTGGTGTGGCCTGGAGGGTCCTTGCAGGGCTCATCTCACAGTGCAGCAAAGCAGCTGAGCTGCAGGGCTGGTCCTTACCTGTGTGTTCAATTTTATATCCCAAAACGAATCACTGGCTGCATTGTCCTCCTTGTCAGGCTTGGGAATTAGAGCTGATGTTGGCATAAATGGGATATGATCCTTCCTCACCTGCCCTCAAATCCCTGCCCCATCCCTGCAAGTGATCAAGGCCAAGTTGGATTTATTTTGTCTTCATATTTAAGTGCAGTTGTAGGGAAATCAGAGTAGGATGCTGTGCTCCTCTTGTGGCTGCTTAAACTCAGATTGCTCTGCTTGGCTGACAGAGTGGTGCCACCTCTTCTTCATGTGTGAAGAGAATCCAAAAGAATGAAGTTGTGAATAGGCTGGTCAGAAAGTAGGTGCTGTTATATAAATCAGTATTTCCTGTGGAGGAAAATGTTGGTGCTCCAGATGGGGAAACTGCCATGTGTACAGCCACTGGTAAATTTGAAGAGACCAGGAAAATGTTAGGAATATAAAGAATTATTAATAAATAAAGATAAATTAAAGGTGCAAAAATGCCTTTTTGTTTTACGAAAGAATAAATAAATGCTCAAAGCTTTGTTTTTCTTAAAGTAAATTTTTACAGGCCTGATAGGGTGAGAATTGATCATTGTTGAAGGAGAGACTGAAAAATGCCCAGGACAAGAGTAGCTGATTTTCTTACAGTCAAAATACTGTAGGAATCACCAATACAGGAGGTTAGAGGAATGTTCTTGTGCAGGGAATAATTTCTGCACGTTGCAAAGTGTTGTCATCCAGTTCTCTGATACAGAATGTGACATCAGATGGCCGAGAGATCCCTTCGTTTAAAGAAATTTTTCACATAAATAGGGGCAGTTTTTGTTTAAAAGGTTCAGGAGGAAACATCTGCTTTGAAGTGAGATGTGGCACACTTAAACTTTCCAGACAGATGCAGAGTTGTGTCATGTGTGTAGCAGAGAATTCACATCTGCATAATTCATAGAATCACAGACTGGTTTGGGTTGGCAGGGACCTTAAAGACCATTTAGTGCCACCCCCTGCTATGGGCAGGGACACCTTCCACTATCCCAGGGTGCTCCAAGCCTCATCCAGCCTGGCCTTGGACACTTCCATGGACCTTGTTCTACTGGACATTGTACAGATGTGAAAACAGAACATTGTGGGTGTAAGAAAAGCCAACAGGCAAGTAGGAATTAATTACACTTGGGCTTGGTACCTTCTCCTCAGAACTATCTTCCCAATTTGGGGAGTGAGTTGGGTTTGCCTTTTGCTGCCTTTCTCTTTGTCACAGGGGTAACTGGGCACATTATCAATGTGACATTTTCCAAAATTGCTGTTTGGAGAGCCCCAAGACTGACAGAGGCAGGGACTGGGAGAACTGAGAAAGCCTTGAGCAGAGTGACCAACATGAGTATCCTGTGCATACTTGTTTAAACTTCCCCAAAATTTCCTGCCACCATCTGTGTGCTGTAATTCCCTTTTGTCTCTTTCTTTTGTCTTTCTTTCCTTGCTTGCTTTCTTGCACAGAAGCTGTAAGATGATACCTTCCTAGTCTAAGGGCACCCTTAGAAACATCCCTTGTGAAACAATTTCATATAGAACACAAATTAAGACGTCACCATTGTTAAATATTCCCATTGTAAGTTTTGGAGCAAAGAGGAGCCATTATTTTCATACAGCATATGTATTTTTAATCCATCCCTCCTGTTCCTTTCCTGCTTCCATTGAACATGTTATTCCTCAGGCTGCAAGGGTTCTTTTCTTTAGACGAGTGTATAAATAAAGATTTAAACAAAACTGGGTGGTCTTCAAAATGCATCTCTTAGAAACAGAGGTGGCAGTGGCAGTTTAAATAGAAAAGGTTGAATTTGTTCATTACTGAAGCTGTAGAGGCACCTTCCAGTTCTCAGCAAGTTGTTTTTTTGTTGGATCACACTCCCTGTCCATCAGTCTGGGGTCATGAACGGGTGCCTGTGACCCTGACACCTCCAGGATTTATAGCTGGGTGTGAGCAGAGCCAGAGCTCGCAGGTTCCTGGGCTCTGAGCAGGCTTCTCCTGCTTCCAGGGTTGTGTGGGAGTTTCCAGTTAGGAATGACCAGGAGTGCCCTGGGCCAGGCACGCAGGAAGCAGAGATTGATGGAGAAGGAGCAGGGGTGGTGAGAAGGAGATGAGGTGCAGAGGTGTGTGATCTGCTAGATTGGATTTTCCCTAAAACTTTTTTTGACTTTGAGCTTTTCCAGCTTAATCCTTGACATTTATGGATCCTCTCCAAGGCACAGTACTGTCAGTTTTCACATGGGCTCAGTGGTAGCACAACCACAGGGTGGTGGTGGGTGATTCAGGAATCCCAGAATGGTTTGGGTTGGAAGGAAACTCAAATCTCTTCTCGTTCCAACCCTCTGCCATGGGCAGGGACACCTTCCACTATCTCAGGCTGCTCCAAGCCCCACCTAGCCTGTCCTGGAATATTCCAGGGGTGGAATTATTATCTTATTCATGGCATGATTATCTTATTCATATTTTTATCCTAATTTCATGATTAATATCCCCAAACTTGATATAATTTCAAGCCTGCAGTGGCTTAAATTTCAAAGGGTGCTTGCTTGTTCTCCTTCCTTTTCTCCCCTCTCCCAAGAGCAAGTGTGAATTGTAGAAAACAGGGAAGTTCCTGAAATTGAGGTGGAAACTTCTGTGCAAGGTTAAAAACCCTCCATCCAATGATGGAGATTTATTTGTGCTGCAAATAAAGTTCTGGCTTGGAAGGGTCAGTGATGCAAAGAGCAGTGACTGGGAGTGTGTGGTGTAATGGAAATGCTCCAGAAATATTAGGTGTGGGAATTTGTGTGTGAAGCAGCCTGGATTTGCATGGACTAATGTGATTTAAGATTTGTGTAAAGACCAGGAACTACTTCAGGCAGCAGATCAGGTGTGATCAGTTGTTATATCTTTGCTTTAAATAGTTGGAGGCAGAGGAAACACATCCTGGCTCAGTTGTTCGTGGATATTGGAGATTTTCTGTTCTTCCTTCCACTCCACTTGTAGCCACAGGAAAGAGTCAGAACGAGGCTGCACATCTTGAGCAGAGAAATAACATTTATTGTAAAATTACAGAATTGTTTAGGTTGGAAAAGACCTCTAAGATCACCAAATCCAGTCATCAACCCAGCACCACTGCCCAGTTCCCCCTTACCCTGTGTCAAAAGCCACATCCACGTGTTCTTTGAACACTTCCAGGGATGGGAACTCCACCACTGCCCTGGGCAGCTGTGCCAGGGCTTTACAACCCTTCCCATGAAGAAATATTTCCTAATATCTCATCCAAACCTCCCTTGGCACAACTTGAGGCCGTTTCCTTTCTATTTCCTCTCCATGCCTCACTCATTCAGGACAATTCAGACATCCTAGGGAGTCACCAAGTGTTGACACTGCAATTTCTTTGAGGAACTGTGCTGAAACTCAAATCATGTATGATTGGAAAGCAGGGATCCTATAACTGAAATTAACTGGACAGTTTTCTATTGTCTTTTTGATGCCTCATGGGTTCAGTCTTGCTATCTGAATACACTTTTGGGGTCTTTAAAGATAAAAAATAACCCTGAATCCTTCTCTTGTTTTTGGACGTGGCAACTGAGTGTCCAGAATATTGATTTTTAGCTGTTTAGTCTCTTACTGCACATTGAATTCACCAAGAGACTTTACACCTTAGTGTTCTATTTTTTGTTCTTTTAAACTAGTCCTGCTCAAATTGATTCTTGTATGGATTTGTTATTTAAATTAATTGATACTGTGGATTGAGTCTAAATTGATTCTGTTAGATGAAAGACTCTCTGCTTGATTTTTTTGTTGTAGTGGATTTTCTTTTTGTCTTTAATGAAAGAAGGTAGTGAGAGGGAAGGAAAATAAGAGAAGAATGGTTGGAATATCACTGAATGGTTTATTAGTCACTGTTTACATGCGTGAGCTGTGTAAATTATCCCCTGATTTCCTTCCACAGGACTGGTGAGTAACGTGGTTTTCACAAGTCATGCCACAGAGCAGAGGCACCCACTCCTCGTGCAGCTGCAGAGCCTGATCCGAGCAGCAAATCCTGGAGTTTCCTTCATCCTGGCAGAAAATGGAATTGTAACAAGGTAACGTTAATCAGGATTTATCGCTTTTGGCACATGGGCCACGAGCACTCAGAAACTTCTGTTCTCTTGTTTTTACTCGGGTGATTTATAGGAAGGAAATGCAGATTTTTCTTAATTGCTTCTTGTGAAAAAGGGATTTTCCCTTTACATTTATGGGCATATAAATACAGGGATTAGGAAATGTGTTTTGTTTGCAGAGTGTGATTTATGTTACTGTTACTGCCATACTAAAGGAAAAGTGCTCTTAATTTTACTGTCACTAGCACATTGTTTTATGTAAGTAGATAGTGGCCATTTTATTTAACTTAGAAAATTAAAAATCTTCATTTTTATCTCTTTACAGGAACGAGGATATTGAATTAATTCTCTCAGAAAGCAGTTTTTCAAATCCTCAGATGATGAGAGCTCGATATTTAATGTACCCTGGCTGGCAAGTATCTAGACTGAGAAGTATTCAAACTATTTTTCTAATTAACTTGAAGATTAAAATGTTTCACTAACTTCATTTATATTTTTTTTCCCAAGACTACTCATTTGGAACAGGCAGCAGCTTTGTAAATCATTTTTAAGAGAGCTGATGATTATTCTTAGTGGATACAAGATTGCTGCCCTGTTAGGGGGGAAAAAGCTCCTTTCTGGATACCATTTAAATCAATGGCAAGATTACTGTTGCTTTCCAGAAGAATAGGCAAGAACCCTGTGGGAATAAACTGGGAAGGATTGGGATGGGTGAGGTCAATAATGACGGGAGTAATTTCATCCTGACAGCTATTCAGCATTACTGGAATGAACTTGCTCTGTCAGTCTGGCCATTAGCAGAACAATTATTCACAAAACCCAGGAACCTCAGTGACAGCCTTGGCACAGCTGAGGCACAAACCCACGTGGCACCAAACTTCCCACTGAACACCGAGGGAGATTTCTCCTGGCTCAGGGCTCTTCACACATCTTGTTGCAATTATCTGTGCTGCACCTTTTTGGCAGAAATCTGCAGCTGTCAGCTGTCATAACTCTTGGCTGACCGGGCTCTGTGCTGCAGACATCATTTATTTATCATACCTTGCAGCCCTCTGCATCTCTTTATTAATAAATTTGGTTCTGAATTGGATGCAAGTAGCCAAGTAAAGCTACTGGAGTGAACAAGCACAAGGCTTGGGATGAGGATATTGAATTAATATCATCAGAGCTGCTTGTGGATTGCATGGAGCCAGAGAGAGAGCAGGAAAAGAAAGTATTTCAAACTTTTGGACAGCTGTTAATCTATTTGATGACAGTGTGCAAGAATTGGATCTGGGTAGCGTGGAAGAGAAAGAGCAGCTGGAAGAGTATCAAAAGCATCCAGGGAGATCTTACTGCAGCCTTGCAGTACCTAAAGAGGGCTCATAAAAAAGGAGTAGAATGAGTTTTTACACGGGTAGATGGTGACAGGACAAGGGAGAGAAGATTTTTAAGCTCAAAGAAGAGTGATTTAGATTAGATATTAGGGAAAATTCTTCCCTGTGAGGATGGTGAGGCCCTGGCACAGGGTGCCCAGAGAAGCTGTGGCTGCCCCTGGATCCCTGGTAGTGTCCAAGGCCAGGTTTGGACAGGACTTGGAGCACCCTGGGCTAGTGGAAGTTCTCCCTGCCCATGGCAAGGGTGGGAATGAGATGATTTTTAAGGTCCATTGTGACTCAAACCATTTCATGACTTTATGGAAAAGAGTCCTGGGTGCTTTGACCAAGCTAATGCTGTTTGGAGCACATTTTATGGAGAGAAGAAAGCTCCGTATTTTCCTTCCTCTGAGCAAGGCTCATCTGTGGTGCAAGAACAGGCATTCTTTGTTGGATGAGAAACAGAAACTCCTGTGATTTCTGTCTGTTGAAGGTGTTTGTTTCTGTCTCCAGGTACGATGGCACATACGGGGCTGGGCCCGTGTTCCCTCCCATGGTTCAGATCTGCGTGTGGTTCAGTCGCCCTCTGGAGAAAACACGATTTGTGACCAAATGCAAAGGTACTGAACTTTGCCTGACTTGACTGAAATCCAAGTTGGGGATGCTGGGGGATAGAGGGGAAGGAAGGCACTGATGTAACGCAGTTCTTGCTTTTAATTGAAAACTCAGCTTTCCTTCTGAAAAGTACAGTAAATTCTGTTCCTTAGTGTCTGCTCTGGAAAACTGTCCCATGATTTTTGTTCAGATGAAAATCATAATTGAATTTTTGATTTCTAGGACTGAGACAACTTCCTATCTTTGCTTTTTATTTTATGTTTCATTGTATTTGGTGGTGTTGAAATACAGTTTTATAAGTGACCATCAGCTTCTACTTTTTACGCTAAATAATTATTTGTAGCTACTAGAAAACAGGCTTATCTCTAGAGTAGATACATTATCAAGCTTCTCCTTCTCTCTATAGCCCAGTAGTGTTAAAGAGGAGGATTTTACCTCCCACACACACTGTGAGAGTTCCTTCTGCCAAACACATCTTATTTTCCAAACTCCACGGCAAAGAATGAGAAAATAAATGTTGCATAGTGGGACTCCAAGGGACATGTCAGCTTTTCCTTTGGAAGCACTGGGATGTGGATTAGAGATCAGTTGCACATGTTTTACCAGAAGCTCCACCAAGGAGAAGAAAAATAAGTTGAGATAATCTGTTTGCTTTCTGTTTCAAACAGCAATTAAGTCATTGCTCAAGCCAAGTCCTTTTTCTGGGAACATTTATCACATCATGGGCAAAGTGAAGTTTTCAGGTAAGGGCAAATTACTCCTGAGGTGTTGTGATCACACTGTAAGTTATGGGTATTTAAAAAAGTGTTTCTGGGCTCTGTCTGCACCAGTGTTGATGTTAGATTAGATTAGCAATTATCAGGCCCTTCCTTCTGTCTTCTCCTTGTTAGATGCTGATAAAGTCATTGAAGTCTGTCACAACACAGCAGCAAATTCCCTAAGCCTGGTGCCTGTTCCGGAGGGGCCAGCTCCTCCCGATTCCAGAAGTGATGCCAGAGACTGCAGCAGTCAACAGGAATATTTCCTTGTGTTCATTGGCTGCTCCCTGAAGGAAGAGGATATCAAAGATTGGCTCAGAGAAACTGCAAAACAGGTTTGTGGACAGGCTTCCTTTTGTTCAGTGCTTGCCATTTCTTAACAGCCAAAGGAAAAATCCGAGTGTCTCTGTGAAACATTTGGGTTTCTTAATTAATCTCTTTTTTCCTTCTACCAAAGTATTGACATTCTAGGGTGCAAATCGATTTCAGGAAGGGGACTAAGAGTTTACAAATGTGTGTTGTAATCTCTGTATTGTTTTAGTGCTTGCTACAGCTTATTCATGGATTGATCTGCTCTTGAATGCTTGAGCAAATGGATTATGTCCAGGATAAACACAGGATGATTTAGCTGAGCTGTGATTGCCAAGGGCTGAAGTGTGCTATGAAATAAATCTTCAAGTACCTGAATGCTGGCAAAGCTGAAAATTTGTTTTGATTCACTAAATTAAACCTCCTTGGAAGTAATCCACTGAAATGGAGGGTAGAGTCCTGTTCATTTTGTCATCCTTAATTAGTCAAGTGTATTTCTGCGTGGCTGATGCATCCATGCAATAAGGAGTAGGGAACAGGGAATGTGGCTGTTGTAGGAAGCTCAGAAGGCACAGTTTGCACAGAGGGACTGCCACAGCTGATTGATAGAATCCCAGATCCATAGAATCCCAGATCCATAAAATCCTGGAATGGTTTGGGTTGGAAGGGACCTTAAATCCCATCCAGTTCCACCCTCCTGCCATGGGCAGGGACACCTTCCACTATCCCAGATTGTTTAAAACCGTGTCCAACCTGGCCTTGGACACTTCAGGAATGGGGCAGCCACAGCTCCTCTGGCCAAGCTGTGCCAGTAGAAATTTTTTTGGGACATTTGTAAGTTAAAAATACTCCATGTTACTTCTGTGTGGATTAGGATTTGCACAGTGTCTCTCTCCAAAAATTAGTGTAGGAAGGGAAAAGTGTTTCCTGCAGACTGTGGCTGGAGCAGTTGCTAAGGTTCTAAGATATCTGAGGTTTCTGAGATGCTCAGGTTCTCATCTCCTGTTCCCCTGTTGTTGCTAAGGTTCTAAGATATCTGAGGTTTCTGAGATGCTCAGGTTCTCATCTCCTGTTCCCCTGTTGTTGCTAAGGTTCTAAGATATCTGAGGTTTCTGAGATGCTCAGGTTCTCATCTCCTGTTCCCCTGTTGTGTTAAAATTAATCAGTCTTCTGTGCTGATTATCTCATGCTCTGTACTTATCACAGGGCTAATATATGGAGACAAATACTTTGCCATGTAAGAAAGCTCTTTGTGGAATACCACTTAAATTTTATGAAAACTTGGAACTTATATGCTTATCTCAAGTGTGAAGTGTTTCCTCTTTGAGCAATTCAAGGCCATAAACACTTTTTGTACAGTCATGGCTAATTGAGGGTTTCAGATAGCTCTAAGAGTTACCACATGCTGCAGGAAAGAAAGGGATTACAGAATTTCTCAGGCTCAAAACTATGTTGTTTTTCTGTTACTGTGCCAGCTTTCTTACAGTAAAGCTGCATTTAAATTGTCTTGTTTAAAATACTTGAAGAATTTTTCATTTCTTAGTGTTTTTTGTAAGATCAGTGAATTTTTACTTTTGTTTTCAGAACATAGTTGTGTGTGCCTTCATAGAACTGAATAATTTTAGAATTGAATTTTTGAAATACATGCTTCTGTTTGGTGGTTTGGGTTGTTTCTGGTTTGTTTTTTTTTTTTTAATTAATTTTTTAACTAACTAAGCTGTGATATCACATTGTCACTCTGTAGTCACATAACTGGAATCTCATTCTTCATACAGAAACCTCAGAGGAAAGCCCTGAAAACCAGAGGAATGTTAACCCTTCAGGAAATAAAAAACATTCACGTGAGTAAAAGCAATAATTTACAGCCCCTTCTTTTGGCTGATTTCCCTTAAATATATAGATGATATATAGATGATAGAGCACCTGCCACAAGAAGTGTGCTGAGCACTAAATTATTACAGCACTTTTGGAGGTACTTGGAGTAAAACTGGAGCTGTCCTGGAGGCATTTGAGATATAAATCTGATCTCAGAGCTCCAAATTCACTCTGGAAAGTAGGAGAAGGTGTAAAATTTGCCATCTTTGGTTGCTGTAATGGCTCTTCCATTTTCTTTTATCTACTGGAGTTTGTAAGGACTGTCCCTGCAGGTGTTTAATTTAAATTCTTTCCTACTGCAGGTGAAACGCCACTTGGATCCACTTCCAGCTGGTTATTTTTACAATGGGACTCAATTTGTGAATTTTTTTGGTGACAAAATGGATTATCATCCACGTATCCTTTAAAATGGGGCGTTTTGGGGAAAGTTTTAGGTAGGCTATGAACTGTGCAGCTCTGAAATATAAAGTGCCAAAGCAAATATGGTAAAGAACCAGTTCTTTGCCAGCTAAAGCTCAGTGTTAAAGCCTTTTCTGAGCGATAAGATCTCAGAAACAGAATAGAACCGACAAAACAAACCCTAAACTGCCCATGAGCTCACACAGGGAATAATTTATGGACCACAGCTTGTCAAAGAAATATTTTTCAAACCAAATAGCACTGTAATAGCACTGAATGCCTGGGCACGACTGATAAAACTTCCAAATGAATGTAATTTTATGTGTGCACACTCAAGTGAAAACAATCATATTTTTGTCCTTAGTATTACCCTGGCATTCCTGGCCAAGGTTCCAGCGTGTTCCTGTTGTCCTTGGTCACCACCTGGGGACATGGGTCAGTGGTGGCCGTGGCAGTGCTGGTTTAACCACTGGACTTGATGATCTCAAAGGGCTTTTCCAGCCTTTGTGATTCTGTGATTTTCTCATAACTTCCTATTGCTTTTGTCTCTGGTCACCAAATTCCAAATTTGTTTTATATTCCCAGTTTACTTTTCACCGTAACTTCACCAAACTTGGTAAAAATCCAGGTGGGTTCTGTGATTTGGAGTAAGAACAGAGTTATTTTCTGTACCCTGTGGAACAAGGTTAAAATTTTAAATCAGCAGATTTCTGTCTGCAGGGCACAAAATCCAACAGCAAACTTGGACTTCAGTATTCACTGGAAAATTATTGATGCTCCATCCCTTGAAGTGTTCAAGGCCAGATTGGATGGGGCTTGGAGCACCCTGGGATAGTGGAAGGTGTCCCTGCCCGTGGCAGGGCATGGAATGAGGTGGACTTTAAGCTCCTTCCAACCCAAACCATTCCAGGATTCTTCACTCCACCTCCCCCTTGGTGTTTGGCAGTAAAAGCTGCAGGCCTGGTTAACCCTATCTGGGGGATTTAAATTTTGGGCAGGTTTTTAGACTTCAGCAGAACAGCTGAAAATGTATTCAGAGAGTCCCAGAATGGTTTGGGTTGGAAGGGACTTCGAAGCTGATCTCGTTCCAGCATCTTCCAGGGATGGGGAGTCCAAAACCTCTTTGGGCAACCTGTGCCAGGGCTTCACCACCCTCCCAGGGAAGAATTTCTTCCTAACACCCCATCTAACCCTGGTTTTGCTGTCCTTAGATCCTTCCTCCTATCTGGGAAGCATCCCTTGTGCAGCTCCTTTGTTCCCTGGGAACACCGTGTTGTGTTGCTCTGACTGTAGACTTCCAGAAAGTAATATATTGAATTTCTGCTTTCACTCAGTGTCTCACAACTGGCCCTTCCTTCAAACCTAGATGTTCTTTGCTACTAAATTCCATTTGTACAAATGTTCTTCCTTCACCTTTCCCAACCAGTAATGGACCAGTTTATGAATGATTACTTGGAAGAAGCCAACAGGGAAATCGAGAAGTACAACAGAGAGCTGGAGGAGCAGGAGTACCATGACCTCTTTGAGCAGAAGACTTAAGCACGTGGGTCCCGGGTGTTTCTGTCCTTGTGTCAGGAACCAGAAATTCTGTTTTGTCCTTCTGGCTCACAAGAAATTGAGTGAAATGTCTGTTTTCAGCACTCCTTCCCAAACTAAGGGATCATTCCCCTAAGGTTGGCATTTAACACGGTAACTGCTTAGCTGTTTGTACTGTCAGGTTTGCTTCCACTTCACCTTAATTCCAGACTGTACAAAGCATCACCTGGAATCTCTGGCTTGTGGTGGAAACTTGGGAAAAAGAAGAAGGAGAAAAGAAGCAAAACTGGATTTATTTCCTAAAAAGGTCAGAATGTCATTGTGAAATTGGGCCATGGTGCAGATATCAAACAATCCTTGGGCGTCCCTTGGAAATTGTTGCACGGGAGCATCGATGAGCAGTGGGGGAATTCAGGATGTGGGATTGGGGTGTTCCCAAAGCGAGAAATGGGGGAGCAGACTTGGAAGAGTCCCCAATCCCAGAACTGTTTGGGTGTTCCTGAAGCAAAAAAATGGGGGAATAAGTAAAAAAAATTAGAAGAGTCCCTAATCCCACAGCTGCTGGGATGTTCCCAAAGCGAGAAATGGGGGAACAATACGAAAAGCTCAGAACTGAGTCCCTAAGCAGCAGCTGTTGGGATGTTCCCAAAGTGAGAAATGAGGGAACAGTGGGAAAAACTCAGAATTGGGTCCCTAATCCCACAGCTCTTGGTGTGTTCCCAAAGCGAGAAATGGGGGAACAGTGGGGAAAACTCTGAAGAGTTCCTGATCCCAGAGCTGTTGGTGTGTTCCCAAAGCAGGAAATGGAATGAGTAAAAAACTTAGAATCCCTGAGTCTGCAGCTGTGTTAGGATGTTCCCAAAGCGAGAAATGAGGGAACAGAGGGAAAAACTCAGAATTGGGTCCCTAATCCCACAGCTCTTGGTGTGTTCCCGAAGCGAGAAATGGGGGAACGCTTTCTCAGAGTCCCTGATCCCACAGTTGTTGATGTATTGCCAAAATGAGAAATGGGGGAACAGAGGGAACAGCTCAGGTGAGAATCTAATCCCACAGCTGCTGGGATGTCCCTAAAGCGAGAAACGGGGGAACAATGGGAAAAATTCAGAATTGAGTCCCTAATCCCAGAGCTGTTGGTGTGTTCCCAAAGCAGAAAATGGGAGAATGGTTAAAAAATGTAGAATGCCTGAACCTGCAGCTGTTAGGATGTTCCCAAAGCGAGAAATGGGGGAACAATGGAAAGAACTCAGAATTGAGTGCCTAATCTCACCGTTTCTAGGGCATTCCCAAGGTAAAAAATGTGGAAACAGTGGGAACAACTCAGAATTCTGAGTCCTTAATCCCAGAGCTGTCAGAGCATTCCCAAAGCAAGAAATGGGGAATGGGAAAAGCTCGGATGAGCACCTAATCCCACAGTTGTTAGGATGTTCCCAAAGCAACAGTTGGGGGAAGAGTGGGAAAAACTGACGAATCCCTAATCCCAGAGCTGTCAGGATGTTCCCAAAGCGAAAAATGGGGGAACAATGGGGAGAACTCAGAAGTGAGTCCCTAATCCCAGAGCTGTTGGGGCATTCCCAAAGTAAAAAATGTGGAAACAGTGGGAAGAACTGAGAAGAGTCCCTAATCCCAGAGCTGTCAGGTGTTCCCAAAGTGAGAAATGGGGGAACACTTTTTCAGCGTCCCTAATCCCAGAGCTGTTAGGATGTTCCCAAAATGAGAAATGGGGGAACAATGGGGAAAATCTCAGAATTGAATCCCTGATCCCACAGCTGCCAGGGCATTGCCAGAGTGAGAAATGGGGGAATGTTTTCTCAGAGTCCTTAGTCCCACAGCTAGCTAGGACATTCCCAAAGTGAAAATTGTGGGAACAACTCAGAAAAATCCCTAATCCCTGAGCTGTCAGGATGTTCCCAGAGCAAGGGATGAGGGAACACTCCCACCCCCACCTTTGCCAGGGCAAAGCCCATCTCAAAACCTCAGCACAGTTTTGAGTCTGCACTCGAAATTCTGACTTTAAAGAAAAGCTATTTATACATTTCAGGGTGAAATCAGTGGAGAAATCTTAATTTCTTCCCAGTGCTCTCATTGGGATTCTGGAAAATATTTCCTGGCTGGCTGCAATGTGCACCTTGCTTAGGTTATCCCTGGAGGATTCCTATTTCAGTCTTAGAAACTAAGCAAGGCAAGGCAAGGGGGAGGTTCTTCAACTGAACAATTCCTTCTCATGAAGATGAGTGATTTCCAAAGGTAAAAAATAGCAAAGGCTGTTACTTGAAAAAGGCAGGAACTTGTCTGTGGAGCTTCCAGAAGAGTTTGCACACCATAACATTTCACTGTGCTGGTGAGAAATCAGCTTTTAAGTACTTGTAACAGAATTTTTATAGTTCCTAAATGATAGAACAGGAATGCTGGCAGCCTGTCCTGACTTAATTCAGTTTATTTTAAAGAAGGCTTTATAAATCCGTGACTGAAGGATTATAAAGTACCTTAGCAGCTACTTACAGGTAATTATTGGAGTTTATTTGAATAAGCATGCATGTGTTCAGAATTTAGGTGAGAACAGCCCAGCAGGAATTTTTTATTTTCATATTCCTTTGCCTTAGGGACAGCTCAATCTTTTACTGCAACTGCAGCTTTTCTTTCTGAACAGATGTTTGTGATACAGCAAGAAATGGAATGAAAAATCTCTTGCAGGACACAAAATACTTCAAATGTATCTGTACAGCCTCATCCCATGTCAGGAAAATGAGATTTAACCCCTGCCATCAAACCTGGGGCTAAATTAGAGTTTGTGCTTAACTAAAGAGATGTATTTTTTACCTTTGGAATATGAAATAAGTGAAATTTCAGTGACCTGAAGCACATTTTAGGTGGTTTTAGTCTTCATAGCTGGGTGCTTGTCCTGTGAGTGATCCACAGTGCAGAGGTGGAATTCCAGGTGCTGCAGGCTGGGATAGAAATACTGATAAGGTTTCATTCCTTGCTTTCCTCCTAGATTTAAAAAGCTGTCTGAATTGAAGACTTTAATATTTTATTTTTTTTTTTTTTTTGCACACCACGAGACTTTATATAAAAACTACTTGTATCCTGTTAGAGGCCAGTAAAAGCCAGCAATTAGTTTGTGTTTTTAGGCTTTCCTGGGGTATTCCCTGGATCACAAGTGTGGAGCATCCTGATAAAGCTCGTGAGTTTTATCTATGCATGGCTAAATTTTAGTCTTAATATCCTGTAGTGCCTGTAGAGCAAAGGTAGCTAGCAGTGGGGTTGGGGGGCTGCCAGGGGTTTACAACTAAATCCAGTCAGTTGCATGAAATTATTTCGCAGCCCAGAATTTTTAGGAATCCCAAAATTCTGGTGGTAGCGCTGCAATAAAAAAAAAAAAAAGGGGCATTAAGGAAATTGGACTCCAGTTGGAATTGCTTTGCCAATTAACTCAGTGTAAACCCAGCTGTCCCAGTTCTCTCATCTGCAAAGCCATATTTTTAGAGTAGTGGGATGTGATGTGGGAAGAAATTCCAGTGGTTGGGACAGCAGGCACGTGGTGGAGGCTTTGTCTCGACACGTGAGTGGATACAGAGTAGATTTAAGTGCAATTGATTGAAAATAGATGAAGATGCTGTAGCTGATTTTTTGCTCTGCTGAACTCTTTTTAAGAACTCCAATTTGTGCAGCTCTCAATTCAATATGGATGGGGCTGATCCAGCTGGAATTCCAAGCCCTGTGAACAAAAAACAAACAAAAAAAAGAAATAATTGGGGTTTGAGTGTGCAAATTGAGCTGTTCCTTAAAAACTGGAGCAGAAGAGCTCAGAACAAAGGCCTAGAACCCTCCTGTCCTGTGCTGCATGTGCTCTATGGTCATAGCTGTGTATTACAAAGACCTTTCACCAGACTGGTACTGGCTCAATTCATGTATTTTGGTATTGAAAGAAATTGATTACCTCAATTTTTATCGTTTATTTTTGAACTGTGACTTTCAACCAGAACAAAGAGAAAAAAAATAAAATAAAAAATAATAAAAATACCGAAATAGTGAAACTGTGACAATGGTATCCTTTAAATGTAGTAGTGCCTTGCAGATGACACCATTTATTCCCCAAATAAATGGATGTCAGGGGTTGCACCCCCTCCTTTTTTTTTAAAGGAAAATAACAGTTTTGGTGAAAGGACTTAAAAATTTAACCTAGTGACAAATATTAGCACAAATGGTTAAACTGTTTAAAAGAAAACTCTTTGAGGACTGAAATATGTAAATGCCTGATGCTGCTGCTGTTGAAGAGCAGTTGCTGATTTTTTGGGAGTCAATTCTTAACGATCAGCAGCGCTTTTTGAATTTTTTTTAAATTTTTATTTTATTTTAGAAGAGTGTAACTTTTGTACTCTGGTCAGAGCTGTTTGTACTGTATGGAATCCCCAAGCCCAGGGGATTTGGTGTCCTCAATCCTTGGAAGTCGAGGTGAGGATGGAGCCACTCCGAAGGATCGAGGTTTGAACGGTTTTTTTTTGCTACTAATTAAAATAAAAACAACAAAAAGCACCATTTCTAACCCACTGATGTTTGGATACAGCAAAAGTGCCATTACACCGTTCCTTTTCTCTTTTTAAATACTTGGAAAAATTTGTGTCCAGGCATTCCTGAGCTTGGGAAGTGCTGAAGAGTCCTCAAGGGGTTTCCACGCTTTGCTGACCTTTGTTAGCAGCTTGTGGTGGTGTTTTTTTTTCTTTCTCCTCACCGAGAATGAGTGTGATCAGAAGTTACTGAAGTTATAGGGATTCAAATGTGACAAACTTAGCAGGGGAACCTTTGCAACTTGAGCTGCTCTGCAGTCTGGGAGTATTTGAATTTGAAGCTGTGCAATTTGGGATTAATCCAGTTTTACACTTTGGCAATTAACACACCGGATTGCAGGGAGGAGTTAAGTTGCATTGTGAGGGTTCCCTAATAAGTTGGTTTTTTTTTTAATTGTTGTTATTTTTTAATTGAAACTTGTCTGAATTTGCACAGATTTAAGCTCTGGAATACTTTTGTATTCTTAAAAAGGGAAAAAAATTGTGACTAGTATAGTGAATTGTGAACTGTGAGTCGGTAGAATCACAAGGTTGATCTAATCTTAGGTTGTTAAAAATGTACCTCAGAAAGCTTGTGAGAAATCGCTTCATTTTTACACAACAGCCAGATCCTGACGTAACACTTCTCACTTTACAACGTGCCAAAATTCACTTTTATACTAGTTCTCAATGCTTTAATATTTGCAACTCTTAAGTTAAAAACGTGTTATTTACAAACACTACTGTAACTTCAGTTCAGCTGAATGGTGTGATTGAAGCTTTTTGCCTCTCGTATTTATTACACAACTTGATTCAGTAAATATAAAATTACCTTTCCATTTATTTTTGTATTGTTTTACATGTTTATACCTGCAGTTTGTGTGACTTTTACACCTGTAACTCAAATGTGATGGAAAGAACCAATAAACAGTATCCATCCACTGGCCTGGCTTTGACTCCTTTAAGAAACTCACAGGTTCCTAAACTGGAATTTTTAAACTTTGAGTGGTTTTCATTTAAAATTTTTAAACTGGCAGAAAGGTGAGTTGTTTATATTCAAAGTAAAATATAAAAAAAATTAAGGTTTTGTGGTTTTTTTTTTTTCCTGCTATTTTTAGACCTTCTTGCTTGGGCTTTTAATTGGGTAAAATTCAAACCAGAAGAAGATTCATCTGCTTTGTGCTGCTGTTTTTCAGCAGCTGTGTGTGAGCAGAAGTTGCTGTTTGCAGATTTACAAATGCAGGGAGGTGCTAAACCTTTCTCCTTGTGCTCACAGAGATGAGGATGCAGCTTTGAGATCCATGGATCTCAAATCTGGCTGCCATGGAGAGGGCAATCCCACCTTACCCTTCTTTCCCCGAGGGGCTGAGCGTGAATCACATTTTTGCTGGTTAAACTGAGCCTGCAGCTGATTTCTGTCTCTGTTTTACATCACTTTTGCATTTGTTGGGGGGAGGTTTTGTGCTCAATTTGGTTTTTATGAACGGTTTATGTAAAACCAGCCTGTTCAATCCAGCCTGCTTTGCATATTCCAGGTGTGCACATAAACCAGCAGCTTCTGGGGCACGGACTTTGGACTGAAATCCAATCCAAACTCCTGGCTTTGGAAAGCAGCTCCCACCTGTAGATCAGGAATTTCAGGGATGACAGCAGGGCCAGGGCAGTGCCTGTCCCCTGGGCTGGCACTGCTGGGACACCTCCAGTGCTGGGGGTGCTTTTGGGGTCTCCAGGTACAGGACAGACATTGAGGGGCTGGGGAAGGCTCTGGGGAGCCCCAGGAGCTGCTGAGGGAGCTGGGAAAGGGGTTCAGCCTGGAGAAAAGGAGGCTCAGGGGGCCCTTCTGGCTCTGCACAACTCCCTGCCAGGAGGGGACAGCCGGGGGGGTCGGGCTCTGCTCCCAGGGAACAGGGACAGGAGGAGAGGGAATGGCCTCAGGCTGGGCCAGGGGAGGTTTAGATCGGATATTTGGGAAAATTTCTTCATGGAAAGAGTTATTACACATTGCTCAAAAGCTCTCCAGGATTGCCAAGCCCAACCATTCCCCCAGCACTGACCTCTGTCCCCAAATTCCACACGGCTTTTAAGTCCCTCCAGGGTTGGGGACTCCAACACTGGGCAGCTGTGCCAGGCCTGGAGAGCCCTCTCCATGAAAAAAATGGAAAGCTAAAAATGCTTTGACAGGATTTAGACAGTGGAGAACTGTGTGAGTTTCATTTCATAAGAGAGATGAGGTAGATTTTCCTGAGCATTTCCCAGATCAGGGTTTTTAGTCCTGTTTCTTGCTCTTACCTCATTTTGGTCAGTCTGGTTGAATCTGGAGAGGTTTCCAGCTCTCCTCAGCTTTTCTAAAACTCCTCTTCCTTCCACGTGAACTCATCTGGAATTTCTTTGCCTACGTGTCTGCCAACAAATGGTGCCTCTTTAGCTTCATAAATTACCAGCCTAATTAAAGTAATGAATTCCCAACGGGAATTGCATGGAAATGGGAGCACTTGTTAATTGAATAGCCCTGGGTTCTGCTCCCATTGTACACGTTCCACAAGGTGCTTGTGTGATCCCTCCTATTGAAATAGCTTAAAATAAACCTTCAGGGCAGTTTGATGTCTTGGTAGGAAAGAAAACACCCAATGGGCAAGGCCTGGAGGATTTCAATGGCTTTATAGCTCCAGGACAGACAAAAAAAAAACAACAAAAAAAGAAAAGCATGGAAAGTAAAATATGGGTGACCCATTCATGGCTAGGAAATCAGCAGGCACACAATGCATTGTATAGATCACTGCAAAACCGCCCCACACGAGTGAAACAGGAAATTTCTAATGGTTGAAATTGAGCCTTCGCTCAACCCCACCAAAAATCTTCCATTTTTCTGTGTTATCAAAGTTAGTTCAATATTTGCTTTATATACATCCTGTTCCGGACTTTGATTCCTCTATACAGCACCTTCCTGCCTTCTAATATCTTGATTTATTGCAGAGTCCTTTTTCTTCCAAAGGTTTGGCTTTGCCTGCTTTAACTCTTTATCTTGTCAGCCTTGGAGCTGGGTCTGGCCATGGCCTTTTCTTGGGCCTCTGCTTGCCTTGGGAAGCTCTGGAGAAACAGAGGAGCTGGAAAACAAGGAGAGGCTACAGGGGCTGTAGGGATGAGCCACAGGATTTTTGGGACAGAGGTGTGGGATATCCAAGGTGCTTGAGAGCATCAAACCAGAAGCTGGGATTTAAGAGCCAAGCCAGTTCCACCCCCTGCCCTGGGCAGAGACACTTTCCATCATCCCAGGTTGATCCAGCCTGGCTTTGGACACTTCCAGGGATCCAGGGGCTGCCACAGCTTCTCTGGGAAATCATTCCAAGGCCTCACCACCCTCACAGGGAAGGATTCCTGCCTAATATCCCATCTAACCCTTCCCTCTGGCAGTGGGAGCCATTCCCTGTGTCCTGTCCCTCCATCCCTTGTCCCCAGTCCCTCTCCAGCTCTCCTGGAGCCCCTTTAGGCCCTGGAAGGTGTTTGAAGGTGTCCCCAGACTTTCTCTTCTCCAGAATCCAGAGATTCCCGCACCCTCCTGGCTGTGGTGCTGGATTGGGATCGCTGCCCTCCCCATCCCAGGGAAAACAAGGAGGAAGTTCCTTGCTCCAGGTCAGGAGAGATGTCACCAGCACTCAGGGAAGGTCCCAGAGGCAGGCTGGATGCTGAACACTCCTGGAAGATGTGTTTCCTGTGCAACAATAGGAATTTTTGTTGTTTTTCCCTGAGGAACCCCTTGAGGTAAGTGCTGAAGTTCCTCCTGCACCAGCAGACACATCCCCTCTCCCTGTGCTGGCACTGAGAGGAGCACAAAGAACTGCAAATTGTGGTGCCTCCTGAATGCCTTGAGCTGTCAGATTCACTGGATTCCATCCTGAATGGACTCTTGGGATTGTTGGACACAGGGAATGGCTTCCCACTGCCAGAGGGCAGGGTTAGATGGGATATTGGGCAGGAATTGTTCCCTGTGAGGGTGGGCAGGCCCTGGCACAGGGTGCCCAGAGAAGCTGTGGCTGCCCCTGGATCCCTGGAAGTGTCCAAGGCCAGGCTGGATCCAGCTGGGTTTGTGGAAGGTGTCCCTGCTCCAGGGGTGGAACTGGGTGAACTTTAACGACCCTTCCAACCCAACCCATTCCATGATTCCCTGCATTCCTTGCAGCTTTCCTTCTGCTGAAGATGGAGCAAAAAAATCTCAAATTATGCAATTTCCCCCCTAAAATCTAAAAGGCCCTGCTGTCCCCTGCCCTATCCCTAGCAGTGGGGTGTGGTCATGACAGAGCAGGGCTGAGAAGGGATTTCTCAAAGGCAAGGCCTGGCTTGGTGTGTGCTGCAGATTAAAATCACTGCTGCAAAGCCGGTGAAACGCAAATGTTTTGGGTTTGGCTGGGTTTGGGAAGGGTGTCCCTTCCGCTGGCCGCTCTTTGTTTGCTTAGCTGAGGTGGGTGCAAGTTCTAACAATAAACTTTCCTGGGAATGTGATGGCTCCTGGAGAGGCCAGGGAAAAAGGACAGACCGGCAGCAGGGGTGGGATGGGATCCTGGGGGGAATGTGGGATGATGGAGTGGGCACAGAAAGGGTTGGGATGTGCTCCTTCCTTTGTGTGTCCCACCCACCTCACAGGGAGAGAGGCCTTGTGTCCCTCCAGCCCCTCCTGCCAAGGTCAGTCATTAAAGGCCCTAAATCAGTGTGGGGTGAGAGAAGAAGGGATGCAGGGATGCCCCTGGATCCCTGGAAGTGTCCAAGGCCAGGTTGGACGGGGCTTGGAGCGACCTGGGACAGCGGAAGGTGTCCCTGACCATGACAGTGGTGGAACTGGATGCTCTTTAAGGTCCCTTCCGACCCAACCATTCCATGATTTCATCATTATATATATAATTTAAGGAAGGAAACTTGCACTTCGAGCCTGGTTGAAAGAGGGAGAGAAAAATCCCATGCTCAGGTCAGACCAGGTGGCTCCAAGCCCTGTCCAGCCTGGCCTTGGACACTTGCAGGGACCCAGGGGCAGCCACAGCTTCTCTGGGGACCCTGTGCCAGGGCCTCACCACCTTTCTAGCAAAGAGTTTCTTGCTAACACCAGTTCTAGAAGCCAGCCCCTCTACCTGGTGCTGAGGGACATGAGGAGGGACAGCTCAGCGTCATCCAGGATCCGCTGAACTCCATCCTGCACTGGCTGGTCCCTCTGGGATGCAGAATTCAGTTCCTGGGAAGCTCCTGCTGCCTCTGGCTCCCAGACAGTGCTGATCTCACCCATCTGCTCTGTCTTGGCAGCAGGGGAGGGGAGGAACAACAATAGCTCTCAATCCAAGCCTAATGTGTGCACAAAGAGCCCCGAGGATTCCTCTGGCACAGCCCGTGGCGGGGGAAGACGCTGCTGGAGTGGCCCAGGAGGCATTTTCCCCCTGTCCTGGCTCAACCTTTTGTTGGAAGCGAACATTTCTGACTGTCTGCAGCCAGCCTGCCGTGGCCGAGCGTCTCCTGCTCTCCCTGGAGGTGTTCTCATCCCTTTTGTGCCTTTGGGAGTCCAGCCCATCCAACATTTCCAGCACAATTCCTGCCCTGTTGCAGAGAGCCTTCGAAGGCTGAGCCAAGAAAAGATTTGGGACTCATGGTCTTCTCCCAGCAGTTTTCCCATCACTGCCCAGGCCAGCAATCCACATTCCCATCCTACTGACAGCACAGAGAGGAGCAAACCAACATTTTCTTTGTGATCTGGACACTGGAGACGTTTTGTGATCATTTAAATCCCTGTTTTTCTGCTCTGGGTGTGCAGTTGTCTGTGCAACCTCATCCAGACCTGTTTTCCTTCCTGTTCCCCCTCCAAGTGTGGGCACAGATTCCCAGAGGAGCTGTGGCTGTCCCTGGATCCCTGGAAGTGTCCAAGGCCAGGCTGGAATGGGCTTGGAGCAGCCTGGGATGGTGGAAGGTGTC